TAATAATTAGCTTCAATAAGTTTAAGAAAAACTCACCGTCAATGCATTTTACAGAATATTCTGTGAAGCGCTTTGAGACGTCTCGACGATGTGATAAGGCGCTGTATCAAATGCAAGGATTATTACTAAATATTATTATTTTATATACACATGAAGAACGAAACGCCTCAAACGCACTGGCAAGAACAACACTGTATTTTACCCATCCCCGGGTTTACGGTGAATAGAAAGGGGTCGGGGTTTCAATCTGTGGAGGGGCAGAAGGCAAAAATGGAGAAGCGTATCTACTGGCGGGGAATGTTGAGCGACTGAGTTGAGTTCCCCATTTGCCTGGTGTGATCTGTGGGTGTGGGGATGGGGGAAAGGGGGTGTAACAGCTGATGTTAATTGGGGTCTCGAGGGCCAGGCCAGAGCCTGTCAAAAAGTAACCCCGACGTGGAGCTGGCGTTAGGAGTAAAAGTGGGTTTGGAGGCGTGCTGACTGTGGTCACCCAGCGGACCTTAATCTCATCATCTGTAATGCATTTGAATAAATCACGGAGGGAATCAGCCAGGCTTGTAAAACCCTGGATGTGACAGATGCATCAAGGAATCCACAAGGCTCCGCCAGGAAAGCTCACTCGCTACGCAAAGGTGGGGGAGGAGGAAAGCCAAAACAACCACCGGCCCCAAACAACCACAACCAATGACATTCACGCAGCACCTCTCATGTCGGGAGGACGTCCCAAGGCGTTGGACAGTCAAGGCTTCGGACCCGAGCTGGGGGGTTGGGGTCGGGAGGGGCGGTGGGCAGGGAGCGTGGGGTTAGGAGGGTTGCGAGGGAGGGGGCAAGGCGGAGGGACTGTGGGATTGAGTTCCCAACTCGGTCTTGGCCCACAGAACTTTATTGTCTCCGAATGTATCCTGGCTCTGTGATAATGGGAAACCCTTCAAATTTTTCTCAGGTCAGGATATCAAGGGATACGGGGCAAAGGCGGGCAGATGGAGTTGAGGTACAGATCAGCCATGATCTAATAGGATGGAGGAACAGGCTCGAGGGGCTGAATGGCTTCCTCCTGTTCCTATGTTCGTAATTCTGTCTCGAGGATTGACTGGAGAACACATCGTAACTACGCTTTGCGGTCAAGCTTCCGAAACGCTTTGAGACGTCTCGACGATCGTAATAAGGCGCTACGTCAAACACAAGAATTGTTGCTCTTAGGAAATGACTGCCCTTCGTTTCACGCAAACTCTGGAGAAAAGGCTTCCGAGCTAAGGCGCAATTTAAGAATTTAGTGATAATAATAATAATAATAACAATCCTCGCATTTGATGTAACGGCTCATCGCGTCGTCGAGACGTCTCAAAGTGCTTCGGAGGATTTTTTTTACCGCTGATGGTGGAGCGGAGGGCATCGGGGGCTTGCAAAGAGGCAAGAGCGGAGGCAGCGGGTAGTGGAGTGGGGAGAAATCAGGCTGGAGGGGTTGGGAGGTTCCAGGACGTAAAGGAATTTGTAGCCAATGTCTCGTCCGAAGGACGGCTATTCTCCTATTCTCTTCCAGCTATTGATTCTGGGCTCATCACCTTCTGATTCCTTCCCCACCCACCCCCACACTTCGCTCCCCACTCCCTCTCTTCCCCTTTCTCCCCCCACTTCCTCTCCCACCTTTGCCTCCCACCTCCCTCTCCTTCCCCTTCTCTCCCGGCCCCTCCCTCTCTCCCCCCCCTCTCTATCCCACTCCCTCTCCCACCCATCCCCACCTCCTTCTCCCTCCCCCTCTCTCCCGCCCTCTCACCACACTCCCTCTTCCCCCTTGCCCCCCTCCCTCTCCCCTGCTCCTGCCCTCCCTGTCCCTCCCCATCTCGCTCCGGTTTGCCCCCCCCTCCTCTCCCCCCTCCCCCTTCCCTCCCTTTCCCGTCCCCTGTCCCCCCTCCCCATCGCTCTCCCCCTTGCCCCAACCTCTCCTCCCCCGTCCCCCCCCCCTCTCCCCTTTGCCCCGACCTCCCCCACGCCCCCCCCCCCCACGGTGTCTCTGTGTCACTGTTTCCTCCGCATCGTTTAATTGCATTATTTCCGCATCCGGCCGGGAATCACACAGAAATTACTCCCAACCCCACAGTGTGTTGCTCTCATAAATAAATAATGTTCTGTCCTTTTGAGTTTATTTAAAGATATCTCTCCTCTCTGTGATTGATTTCCTCCTTCTGTCTCTCTTTCCCTACCTCTGATTTCTCCTCTCTCTCTCTCTCTCTCTCTCTCCTTCTACAACAATAATAATCTTTGCATTTGATGTCGCGCTTTATCATATCTCAAAGTGCTTCACAGGACATGCTGCAAAGTGTAGTGACTGTGTAATTTGTGGGCGAAAGGCGGCCGGCAATGGGGCACAGCAGCGTCCCGCAAACAGTCGTGGATTGAGTGATCACATTTATTTTTTATTGTCCCCGAAAAAGCGATCCTCCGATCGATTAACAACAGGGTTCCTCGTTACTGTGGGGTGACCGGAGGTGTGTGGAGTGAAGAAACTTGCCTAAGGTCTCACCCTGTCCCGGAAATCGACCCCAGGTCCTCTCGCTTGTGAGGCGAGTGCTCTGTCCTTCTCTCGCTACGTCTGATTCCTCCCCCCCCCCCCCCCCCCACTCTCTCTCTCTCTCTCTCTCTCTCTCTCTGTCTCTTCCCTCTTTCATTCTCTTTGATGATCCACTTGATCAGATTTCACTTTGGACTCGCAACTCTTCCCCAGTTTTTTCGTGCGGTCGGCGGTTACTGTCCCCAGAGCAGGTCCACATCTGACAAACTGGATTATTACAACCCAACAATTAGACAGGTTGTAATAATAATAATAATGATGATCACTAATAATAATCCATAATAATTAATAATAGCAATCCTTGCATTTGGTACATTGCATTTCAATTCAGGACAGCGATTCCAAAAAGCTTTGCATTATATTAACACTGACAATCCTCGCATTTGATTGAGCCCTTTATCACGTCTTCGAGACGTCTCAAAGGGTTTCACAGGATACACTGTAAACTGTAGTGACTGTGTTTTGTGGGTGAAACGTTATTCGAGTCATTCACTGTAAAGCCAATTTGCGAACACTTTGGTTTACCGTGTTGCTTTGTGCCTCTTCTCCCCCTCTCTAACCACCACCCCCCGCCCCCCCCACCCACCCCGCCATCCCCTCATTCCCTCTCTCTCTCGGTCTCTCAGCCCCAAAGATCTCTATGTGTTCCACTGCTCTCTTCCACTGCTCTCTTTGTTTCTCTCTCTCTCTCTCTCTCTCTCTGTGCCTCTTTCTTTCCTTCACACCCCATGCTCCCCGCTGATGCGATTCACATCACGTGCGCTCGCCCTGTTAGCATTACCAGACGTTCCTTGGAGGGATTAAACTAATCCCAGTGATTTCCTTCGCTCAGTTATCGCACTACACATCAGGCTCTTTTCAAGAAGCTTTTGTTTCGGGACAAAGGAAAACAATTAAGTACAACGCACACAGATACTGCTGGAAGGATCGTACTGAGAAAGCGAGGGTCGGAGGGAGGCGGGGAGCAGGGGTGGGCGCGGGGGAAAGGTGGGCGGGGGCCGGGGGGAGAAAATGTTGGAGAACTCAGAGGCTGAGATTACCCGTTGCAGCACAAAGGTTGGCTCTGTTCTTGAGAACTTGAGAAATTCCGTAGGTTTGTAGATACAATTTAGACATGCGTGGGGCTGGGATTACACGCGGTGCTGTGTGCACGCGTGCGCGTGTGCGTGCGCGCGCTCTGACTTCGAGTGTGATTGACAACAACGACAGCTTGCATTTACACAGCGCCCCTCGCGCAGGATAGCGTCCTCGACCGCCCCGCACGACAATCTCTCCGTGTTGCGGGCACGGCCTCTCACGGCGAATTTACCTTTTTTTTTGTATTCTCACAATAATAATAATTATATAATATCTAATAATAATGCGGTCACTTCAACCCACGACTGTTTGTGTGGGACGCTGCTGTGCGTAATTGGCTGCCGCGTTTCGCCCACAGACTACACAGTCACACGCCATTTTACAGTCTGTCCTGTGAAGCGTTTTGAGACGTCTCAGTGACGTGATAAGGCGTGATGTCAAATGCAGGGATTATTAGCAGTAGTAGTTAACGTACATGGTGAGCTCAGTGGTAAGACACGATGGACCTAGTTTGGTTGCGAGGCTGTTGTATGACTTGATGGATCGATGGCCGCCAAATGGGAAGAAGCACTCAGTGTAATGATGATCTGTTCATTGGTCTGATATTTGTTGCTGAGGAACGCAGCTAACGGCAAACTGCGAGGGCACCCGCATTGACAGGCTGTCTTGTTCAAAGGCATTTAATTAGCTTTGGAAATCAGTGAATGACCAGATTGGTGGTCACTGATATCCCGATCAATCTACCCGTCACTATCGCAGGTTGATGGCGTCCGGGCAACTCATTCTTCCTTCTCATTCTATCCGGCAGATCGCTGTCCGGGGTAACGATCCTTCTAAATTTTCCTTTTAAAAAGAGTTATTATTATTTTATCGCTCGATCCACCACTGTTTGTGGGGACTCTGCTGTGCTCGATTGGCTGCCGCGTTTCGCCCACAAAGTATACGGTCACTCCACTTTGCAATGAAGCGCTTTGAGACGTTTCCACGATGCATCAAGTGCAAGGATTTTTATTCTGCCTCCACTCAGCAAATCATTTTATCGTCGGGCAGACCTGAGCCCAGAACATGATGCTCACTCCATCTTTCAGTCTCCTTCCTCTGCAATCACCGCGGGGGGAGAGCAGGAGAATGGGGGTTAGAGTAGAGAGCTCCAGTGGGGGAGCGAACACCAGCACAGACACCGTGGGGGGAGAGCAGGGGAATGAGGGTTAGAGTAGAGAGCTCCAGTGGGGGAGCGAACACCAGCACAGGCACCGTGGGGCGAATGCCATCCTTTTGCTCTGTAACCTTTGCACTATTCTCTGAGCAGTCGCTGAATTTTCTGTATCTCTGTCTGTCTGTTGTGTCTCTTCAGGGAGTAGATTCCACATCACTTCTTACGGAGCCTTGTACATATCCGATGTACAGAAGGAGGATGCGCTATCAACGTACCGGTGTATCACCCGACATAAATACAGCGGGGAAACACGACAGAGCAATGGAGCTCGCCTCTCTGTTTCAGGTACGAATTTGGTCCTGAATTTGCGCCTGTGTTTAGGGTCAGGTATCAGGGTGTGTTCCTCCTGGAGTGGGAGTGGAGGCGGGGGGGGGGGGGTGGCAGACAAGGTACAGAGGGAGTAACTTTTTCAGTGGTTTCGTTTGGATGCTCTTAAGCTGCACTGAACAGTAGAACCTGGGGACACGGCCTGTGATCCAAGGGATAATACACCCCGTCCCAAATCCAATTAGTCTCCCCATCCCTTATTTCCCTTCTGCCTCTCATCTCCTTGGTATGAATGGGCTCAGGCAAAGCCGAACGTAACAGGTCTGGTTTCATTAACATCCTAACGGGTGGAGCGGTCCCAGCTGGACAAGCAGCGGGAAAGCTTTGCCAGACAGTGCTATCAATGGCAAGCTATACGGTTTTAGCTGGTTAGACTCCAGGGTTACCCCAACGCACACTCTGGGCTTCCCCCCCCCCCACCCCACCCCAAGCCTTGTCTCTCGCCAACCTGTACCTAATACTTTCTGGAATTAGGTGAGCAGGATACATCCCCCACCGGTATGTTGAGAGAGAGAGAGAGCGCAGTCCATTCCAACAACCTATCTCTGGGATTTCCGTGTGTAGGTGGGAGGCGGGGAATTCTCAGTGTGGTTTGGAGATACTTAAGCAACAGTGATGGGTTTCTGTGGCTGACCCCCCCACCTGCAAAAAAAAATATTGACATGTCAACAAATCTACATTGTCTTCTCTTTGTATTGTCCTTCCCCCTTCCTGTCCCACCACACCTCACCTCAACTCAACTCACCCTTAGATCCTATGGAATCAGCACCTACAGTGTTGGACAGTTTCAAGTCCAGAGAGGTCTGGACGGGAAGAAGCGTGGAGCTTCCTTGCGCCGCCTCCGGTTACCCGAACCCCGCCATCCGCTGGCTGAAGGACAGCAGACCGTTGCCGGTTGACAGCCGGTGGACCAAACGCATCACCGGCCTCACCATCACCGGGCTACGTGTGGAGGACAGCGGCACTTACATCTGTGAAGTCACCAACACCTTCGGTTCGGCAGAGGTGACGGAAACGCTGACAGTGATAGGTAAGAGCCTCGGGAAGTCAAACACATTTGACACAGCGTCGCCTTTCGGGTCGGGAGAATATCTCAAAGGGCCACGGCTGATCTGTACCTCAGTGCCTGAGTCTCCCATATAATTTTCTCTGTGAATTTTCCCATTAAAATCACTTTGATATCTTTGCACTGGTCGGATTTTACAACAAAAAACACAACAAAATTACATTTGTAAAGCGCCTTTCACATCAGGAGGACGTCCCAAGGCGCTGGACAGACAGAGTTATGGACTCGAGCTGAGGGAAGCACGGTCGAAGCGGAGGGTCTTGAGATGGGTCTTGAAGGTGACGAGGGAGGGGACGAGACGGAGGGACTGCGGGATGGAGTTCCAGAGGGTGGGGCAAAGTGGTTGAAGGCCCACCTGCCAATAGTGGGGCGAGTGAGGCGGGGGACATGAAGCAGGCCGGAGCCCGCTGAGCGGAGGGAGTGAACAGGTTGGTAGGGGGTTAGGGGGTCACAGAGGTAGGGGGAGCAAGACCATGGAGGGCTTTGAAGGTGAGGACCAGGATCTTGAACTGTATCCTCTGTGATAGGAAGCCAGTGGAGTCGGGGGAGGATGAGGGTGATAGGGTCACGGAGTTTGGTGCGGGAGAGGATACGGGCTGCAGAGTTCTGGATGATCTGCAGCCTGTGGAGGGAGGAGTTGGGGAGGCTGATAAGCAGTGAGTTTGTGAATAGTTGAGCCTCGAAGTAATGAAGGTGTGTGAGGGTTTCGGGGGCCTGCGGTGTGAGACGGTGGCGGAGCCGGGTGACATTGTGGAGGTGGGGAAGGCAGAGCGGGTTATGGCGCATATGTGTCAAGAACAACACCAAGTGATACTGACACAGAGTCTTTCGTGTCAGGAGGACAGTCAGTTGGATGTTGGGATCAGGAGGGGGTGGAGGGCAGGGAGGGTGAGGGGGGGCGGTAGGAGGGTGACTGAAGGCGCGGTCGAAGAAGAGGGTCTTGAGATGGGCCTTGAAGGAGGCGATGGAGGGTGGTAAAGAAGGGCTCGAACACGCAACCATCTGCCTGACGGGTTGGAGAGGGCCTGAGGGCATGAAGCGGGAGCTGTGAGGCGCGGAGACACAGAGAGGAAGGCAGCGCAGAGCAGAGCAGAGGAGAACTCAACCCAACCTGTCCTCTGCTTCACATCAGTAAGCGCACGGGGCTTATCAGGACACGGGCAACATCGCTGCCGAGACAACTGCGGCTCAGACATATCATTCCGAGAGCAAGACAGCGCTGTCAGGCCAAGCCAGGCAGAAGTGTGCGATGCGCTGCGCAAGTGGAGGTAGCTCTATCCCACCTGACAACTGCCGGGAGTTCCTGACAGACACGTGAGACAGTGAGTACCGCAGCATCGCACGCGTGCGTCACGCCTGCCGGGCCCGATACGAACTAGGGTGGTGGGGGATCAGGGTGGGGGTGACATGAGGAGACCACTCCTCTACCACCAGCAGCTGTTCAGTGCTCAGTGACATTTACACAGAAGCCCTGCTGATTCCGAGAGAGAGGAGAGAGAGAGAGGGAGAGAGGGACAGTGGAAAACAATATCGAGCGTGTGCGTTGGCCGGAGTTATTGCTTTTCATTCCACTTGACTCACTTTCACACTGACTTACCACTTTAGCGAGCAGGAACGAGACGGTCACAAACCAATTAAGTTGCCCTGTGTTGGGCTTAATCCTCGCTCGCCCCACTATTGGCGTGCGGGCCTTCCGCCACTTTGCCCCCACCCTCTGGAACTGCATCCCACAGTGCCTCCGCCTCGCCCCCTCCCCCCCCACCCTCCCTCGCCACTTTCAAAACCCATCTCAAGACCCTTCTCTTCGACCGTGCTCCCCCCACCCCCCACCCCCCTCCACCTTCCCCGACCCCCATCGGGTCCGTCTGTCCAGAGCCTTGGAACATTCCTCCTGACGTGAAAGGCGCTTTTGCAAATGTAACTTTCTTGTTGTTGTCATTGTTAATTGGCATCCGGCCAACTGCAGCCAAACCAAGTTTATGCTTTCTCCCCTTTACTTCTTCCCCCCCCCCCACCCACCCCGCAACCCCCCAAAAACCACCCAATCGCATTTTGTTGGTTTAGTGGCGAACTAAGGCGTACTAAGGAGTGTGTTTCTCCAGAGTCCTGACCCACAGTCCACCCCACGAGCCCCCACCACCACCACCACCACCACCACCCCCCGTCACACTCACACAATTCACCATCATTGGCTTCCTCAGCTCGGGTCCACACCCCTGAGACTATCTAACGCCTCGAGGCGTCCTCCACGACGTGAAAGGCCGCCGCGTCAATGTTATTTGTGGCTGTTGCGGAACATTGCTATTTGCAGAATAGCTGGACGGGAAAGGGTTAATGTGGTGCCTGTAAGTTCAGTGTGTGTGAGCTGTGTTTCACCTCATTTCCCCCCCCCCCCCCCCCGCCAATCACCCCCCTCCGCCCCCCACACTGCGATCTGCCAGCCCGCGTGTGATGGGAGCAGGAGCTTGAAAGGGCATCTCATGGGGAGAGGGAGCTTGCCAGCAGCGGGCGATTAACACAGATTCGTGTGGACACCACTGGCAGCTGAGCAGTGCGGTGACCCACATCAAGAGCACCGCCCGCTGTTTATAATTTCATTTTTGCCGTCCCGTAGCGTGGTGGTTAGAGCGCTCGCCTCGCAAGCGAGAGGACTCGGGTTTGATTCCCCGCTCAGGGCGAATCCTTAGGCAAGTTTCCTCACTCCGCACACGACGCCTCTGTTTGCCGAGCAGTGAGAGTAGGAGCCTGGTCGTTAAGTCGATTGCCGGATCGCTTTCCGTGGGGGGTAATGATCCCTCCAACAAAGGAAACCGATAATTCAGTCACGCAATCCCCGGCTGTTTGTGAGGCGCCGCTGTGCGCAATTGGCTGCCGCGTTTCACCCACAAAATAGACAGTCACTACACCTCTACAACATATTCTGTGAAGCGCTTCGAGGCGTCCCAACAACGTGATAAGGCGCTGTATTAAATGCAAGGATTATTATATTATAAATTTAACGCATGCTGTTATTTTCTGATTTCATCCTCCTTCTGCCGACAAGTGCCAGGCTGGAGTGTTTAATAATAATTATTATTAACATTGATAATAATAAATACTAATGCTAATTATTATTTACAGTGTTTATTAATAATGTTATTAGTATTATTGGTGTAATTATTAATATTACTATTAATATTAATAGTAGTATTAATATTATCATTATTAGCAGTATTTTATTAGTATTATTAGTGTAATTAGTATTATTGTTGGTATAATTATTAGTATTATCATTATTGTTATTGCTAGTGTAATTATTAGTATTACTGGTATTATTATTAATATTATTATTAGTGTTGTTAGTATTAACGTGTTGCCCGCTCTCGTCGGCCTCTGCAGATCCGCTGAGGGTCATGGTGACGCCAAAGAAGCTGAAGATGGGGATCGGGAGCACGGTTGTCCTGTCGTGTGCCGTGGCCGGCTCCCCCGAGTACATCATCCGCTGGTACAGAAACACCGAGCTCATCGCCCCCGACAACTTCATCTCCATCAGAGGCATCAACAACGAGACTCTGCTCATCACCTCCGCTCAGAAATCTCACTCAGGCGCCTATCAGTGCTTTGCTACCAGAAAAACCCAAACGGCACAGGACTTCTCCATCATAGTGCTCGAAGGTACTGCGTCCCTTTCCAAACCACGGACGTTCTACCACAACGACACGTTATATTTACGCAGCGGCTTTCACGTCGGGAGGACGTCCCAAGGCGCTGGACAGTCAGGGATTTGGATCCGAGCTGGGGTTTGGGATCAGGAGGGGTGGAGGGCAGGGAGGGTGGGGGGTAGGAGGGCGACTGATGGCACGGTCGAAGAGGAGAGTCTTGAGGCCGACCTTGAAGGAGGCGAGGGAGGGAGCGAGGAGATGGGACTATGGGATGCAGTTCCGGAGGGTGGGGGGGCGGAGAGGCTGAAGTCACGACCGCCGATGGTGGGGCGGACTGGGCGGGGGGCGTAGGGCAGGCCGAAGCCGGCTGAGCGGAGGGAGGACGTTCCAAAGCTCTGGGCAGTGAAGGGTTTGCACCCGAGTTGGGGTTGAATTGGAAGCTTTTTTCAAAGACCCGACACAGACGTGATGGGCCGAATGGCCTCCTTCTACGCTGTATAATTCTAAGATACTATGATCTTGAGACAGGTTTTTAATACCCCTTTTCTTCTCCCCCCACCCCTCCCCCCACCCAACCCCCCACCACCTCTCCCCCCCCCCCAAACCCCCGCTCGCCACCCACCCACCCCCCGGGGAAAAAAAAAGACGGAACCCCTCGAATCATCTCGTCCTTCAGCGAGAAAGTAGTCAACCCGGGGGAGCAGTTTTCACTGATGTGCGCGGCCAAGGGGGCGCCCCCCCCCACCATCACCTGGACGCTGGACGACGAGACCATCCACCGGGACAGCGGGCACCGCACCAGCCAGTTCACCATGACGGACGGCACGGCCATCAGCCACATGAACGTCAGCCACCCGCAGATCAAGGACGGAGGCGTTTACTGCTGCTCGGCCAGAAACCTCGTCGGAAGCGCCGAGTACCAAGCGCGAATAAACGTAAGAGGTGCCTGTCTACTTTTCAATATCAGAATAGGAAAAAAAATAACTTAAATTAAAAATATACCCGGGGTTTTTTTTTTTGAAGCGCGACGCGATTTCCGTTGGTCGCGTGTGGGGTTTTGGGGGGGGCGGGGTGGTGGGGGAGGGGGAGGGGGCGGGTGGGCTGGGGTGGGGGAGGGGTCGCTTTGCTTGTAAACACACGTTCGTACGTCCAGCCCCTGGATCCACCTTGATTGAGTGGTTACAGCACCCGCCGCTAATTATTTTATTTATTTGTTTGTTTATTTATTTCTTGAAGGGATTATTACCCACAGAAAACAATCCTGCCAATCGACTAACAACCGGGTTCCTACTTACTGCTAGGCAAACAGACGCGTGTGGAGTAAGGTTTCGCCCTGACCCGCCTGGGAATCGAACCCGGGTCTTTCTCGCTTGCGGGGCGAGTGCTCTAACCAACGCGCTACAGGAATCCACTTACAGTAATAATACAACACAAAATTACTTTTGTATAACACCTTTCACGTCAGGAGGACGTCCCAAGACGCTGGACAGTCAGGGATTTGGACCCGAACTGGGTGGGGGGGTTTGGGATTAGGGAGGATAGGGAGGGTAGTAGAATGGCCGAAGGCGTGGTGGTCGAAGAGGAGAGTCTTGAGATGTGCCTTGAAGGGAGCGAGGCGAAGGGAATGTGAGATGGAGTTCCACAATAATAACAGTGATGATGCTGATGACGACCTTTCCATGTGGCCTTTCGCATTGGAAGGATGTCTCGAGCGCTTTTACAGGAGTCACCGTATACTGTAGTGACTGTGAGCTTTGTAGACAAACTTGGCAGCCAATTTGCTCTTTCCAAACTGGTTCTGGAGTTGAAGGAGCTCAGCCTTGGCTGCAATGCCCTATCATTGGAAAATAGGAATTACCAGGCAAGGATAGACCCAGGTCTATCTAGTTTGGCTTCTACCATCCTGGACATCACTTGCTCTCGTAACGGAGATGTTGAGAGTAATGAGTTAATTAGAAACCTGATAATAATCCTTGCATTTGGTTACAGCGCCTTTCAACAGCAAAAACAACAAGTTGCATTTAGAGACCCGAAGATGGGGAAGGAGTGGGGGCAAGGCGGAGGGATAGAGGGAGTTTCGGGGCGAGGCGGATGAAAGCGCGGCCACCGGTGGTGGAACAGAAGAGGGGACGAGAGAACAAGCAGGGAGGACGTCCCAAAGCCCTGCACAAGATAATCATGACAATAGTAATGATAATAATCCTTGCATTTGATGTCGTGTTTTCCACGTCTTCTCGACGTCTCAAAGCACTTCACAGAACATACTGTAAAGTGCCCCGTGTGTTTGTGTAGGCGAATTGACAAGAAGCCAAGAGTCTGTGCTGTGTAATAAAGTCCCGCTGCTGGTGTTGTAATGCAGGTTTGCTTTTCGCAGGTTCCCCCAGTATCCGCTCGATGAGAAACATCACAGCCGTGGCCGGCAGGGACACCTTCGTGAACTGCCGGGTAATCGGGTACCCCTATTACTCCATCAAGTGGTACAAGGACGCCGTGCTGCTCCCCGACAACCACAGGCAGGCGGTCTTCGAGAACGGCACTCTCAAGCTGGTGGACGTGCAGAAGGGAATGGACGAGGGGGAGTACGTGTGCAGCGTGCTCGTGCAGCAACAGCACTCCATCAGCAAGAGGGTCCATGTCGCCGTCAAAGGTACAGACGCCCACCCGCACTTACGTAGGCAGGAAAGCGTAGGAACAGGAGGAGGCCATTCAGGCCCCCGAGCCTGCTCTGCCGTTCTATTAGCTCATGGCCAATCTGTATCTCAACTCCAACCACTCTCCTTTGCCCGCACCACCCCCCCTTCCCTCGATACCCTGACCTGACAGATATTTGTCCACCTCGGTCTTGACAATGTGAAAGTTTGAATGGATCAGCCATAAACCGCAGAGAGAGAGAGAGAGTGCAAGAGAGAGAGTCCCAGATTTCCACGAGCCTTTGAGCGAAAAGCTGCCTCTTGACTGAGCGTATCGTGTTGCGAGGTCAACCAAAGCACATAACACCCCTGGCTCGACACCCGAGCTATTATATTAATAATAATAATAATAATGATAATATAGAGTCCTGTAGTTTAGTGGTTAGACCACTCGCCTCGCAAGTGAGAGGCCCCAGATTCGGGGCAAAACATTAGGCAAGTTTCCTTACTCCACTCTTACGCCTCTGTTTAGCTCTCAGTAAGTGGGAACCTTGTTGTTAGTCGATTGACAGATCGCTTTTCACGGGGGGGGGGGGTAATAATCCCTCAAAAAAAAATTGGGTCACTCAATCCACGACTGAATGGCTGAATGGCCTTCTCCTGTTCCTACGCTTTCCTGCCTACGTAAGTGCGGGTGGGACACTACTGTGCGCAATTGGCTGCCGCGTTTCGCCCACAAATATACAGTCAATTCACTTTACAGTGTGTTCTGTGAAGCGCTTTGGGACGTCCTCCCGACGTGAAAAGTGCTATATCAAATGCGAGGATTATTATTATATCAAATCCATGGACTATTATTGAGCGGCTGAGCAGGCGTGAAGCCTGTCAAACAGTCTTGCTCTAAATCCCCCCTTCGCTTATCACAGCCCACTGGGCCGTTGAACGCTGTTTCTTTCCAATCGGGTTTGTGACTGGGAGCAACGAGCCTCCTGCTCATCCCTCGCACCTTCCGCCCCACCGTAGGAGGTCGCGCTTTCAGCCACTGTGCCCCAAAACTCTGGAACACTCTCCCTCAGTCCCTCCGCCTTGCCTCCCCCCTCCCCTCTTTCAAGTTCTGCCCGAAGACTTTCCTCTTCGACTGTGGTTATGGCCACCTCCGCACTCCACCACCGTTAAGCCCTCTAAGATGCTACCCTGTGTGGCGGGCGGTAAATAAGTTGTTGTTGTCGCGGGCCTGGTGCGGCCCGTGGGCCGCCAGTTGTACCACCCTCGCATCTGAGCTCCACAGCAACTCTCGATGGGAAAATGGCCTAATTTGCATTTGCGAGGGGAGCGCAGTGTGAGGCGGGGAGGGGGGGGGTGGGGGGAAACGTCTCACAAGGTTGCTTTGCACAGCCTGTACCCTCCAGCTTGGATGTATTTCAGAGGAAACACACGAGGGAGAAGGGGAGCTGGCGAGATGGCGGGGGGTGGGTTCGAGTGTGGAGTGTAAACCCCGGTACAGACTGGTCGGGGTGAACGGTCTGTTTCCTCGCTGCGTAATTCAAACCGGATCCAATTCACGGCCGCTCTTTCTTTAATCCCGGCAGGAAAACAATCCGCCAGGGACCTTTGCAGACCGGATCCGTCGACGAGCCCCAATTTGCAGCCGTTAATTAATTGCCTATTAATTAACAACGCGAATGAATGAGTTATTAATTACTCCGGGCTCACAGCCTTCATGAGAATCCTCGCGCTTGACACGGTGCCTTTCACAGCACGTGACGCCCCAAAGCGCTTCGCAGGATTTACTGTACAGCAGAGCAACTGCGGTCGAACACAGCGGCTGACGCTGATTTTGCAGAGAGCAGCGTTGAGATGGCCCCCACCCCACCCCCCACCCCCTGAGATTCCCCCCTCTCCCCCCCCACCCCTTCCTCCGACGATGATCTGAAATTCGCTGGCGTTTTCTCTGCTTCATTTTTTTTCGCGTTCCTCTCCTTTTAATTTGTCTTTGATCGCCAACCAGAAACGACAAGCTCAGTGAATCCTGTCTTAACGAGTGAAAGGTTAATTAAACGCACCAGTCATTGTGGGGTTGGTTGTGGGGGGGGGGTTGGGGGGGTGGTGGAGGGAATGTCTGCTCTCTGCAAATATGCTGTCACACGGGGAACGAGAGTGGGAGAGAGAGAGAGAGAGAGAGAGTCAGTGAGCAATAAGGAGAGAGAGAGAGAGAGAGAGAGATAGTGATCGGTCATTCAATCCACGACTGTGTTTGTGGGACGCTGCTGTGCTGGAATTGGCTGCCTCATTTTTGCCCACATAACGCACAGTCACTACACGTTGCAGCATGTCCCCTCAAGTGCTTGGTGATGTCTTGACGACGTGATAAGGCGCTGTGTCAAATGCAAGGCTTATTGTGAACGACAGCAACAACTTGCGTTTATGAAGAGAGAGAGAGAGGCGGAGAGCGATGGAGTCAGAGAGAGCGAGAGAGAGAGCGCGCGAGAGAGAGAGATAAAGAAAGAAAGAGAGAGAGAGAGAGAGAGAGAGTGAGACGGGAAATAAAATGCTGGAAGGAACAGTATTTGATAGTAACGCTGCCCGTTAGTTGTAGTTTACAGTCAAAAACATGGGATTCGCAATGTTCCTCAGTCCACTTTAACACGGAACCTTTTGCCCGACTCAACCCCCTGAAGTGTTTTAAATGGTTTGCCGGCTTTTTTTTCAAAACAACAACAACAACAAAATGACATTTACGTCAGGAGGACGTCCCAAAGCGCTGAACGTCCCAAACCGCGAAAAAAATAATGCCCGCCTTTCAGCAGCGTATCTAAAATGCGTCTCGACGTTAATTATTCAGGAATTTGCCGTGTTCGCTCACTGTGAATCTTGCCGTGATTACATTCTGATTGTGTCACGGCAGAGAGGACCACAGCTTTGTCTCTGCGCGCTCCGTTTGGCTGTGTGAGCGCAGGGCAGTGTGTGTGTGTGTGTGTGTGTGAGAGAGACAGGGTAGTGTGTGTGTGTGTGTGAGAGACAGGGTAGTGTGTGTGTGTGTGTGTGAGAGACCGGGTAGTGTGTGTGTGTGTGTGTGAGACAGGGTAGTGTGTGTGTGTGTGTGAGACAGGGTAGTGTGTGTGTGTGTGAGACAGGGTAGTGTGTGTGTGTGTGTGTGAGAGACCGGGTAGTGTGTGTGTGTGTGTGTGAGACAGGGTAGTGTGTGTGTGTGTGTGAGACAGGGTAGTGTGTGTGTGTGTGAGACAGGGTAGTGTGTGTGTGTGTGAGTAGTGTGTGTGTGAGACAGGGTAGTGTGTGTGTGTGTGTGTGAGACAGGGTAGTGTGCGTGTGTGTGTGAGACAGGGTAGTGTGTGTGTGTGTGAGACAGGGTAGTGTGTGTGTGTGTGTGTGAGACAGGGTAGTGTGTGTGTGTGTGTGAGACAGGGTAGTGTGTGTGTGTGTGTGTGTGAGACAGGGTAGTGTGTGTGTGTGTGTGAGACAGGGTAGTGTGTGTGTGTGTGTGTGAGAGACAGGGTTGTGTGTGTGTGTGTGAGACCGGGTAGTGTGTGTGTGTGTGTGAGACAGGGTAGTGTGTGTGTGTGTGTGTGAGACCGGGTAGTGTGTGTGTGTGTGTGAGACCGGGTAGTGTGTGTGTGTGTGTGAGACAGGGTAGTGTGTGTGTGTGTGTGTGAGACAGGGTAGTGTGTGCGCGTGACACAGGGCTGTGTATGTGCGACAGGGCTCAGTGTGTGTGTGTGTGTGACAGGACAGTGTGTGTGTGTGATAGGGCTGTGGAGATGGGTGTGTGTGTTGCATTTCCTTGTGCGCGCGTGTGCGTGTGTGTGTGTGTGTGTGTGGAACCATCTACCACGAGATGGGTAGCATCCCAAGAGCACTTCAGGGCAAATAATAATCCTTGCGTTTGACACAGACTCTCGTGTCGTTGAGACGTCTCAAAGCGCTTCACAGGACATAGTGTAAAGTGAATTGACTGTAGATTTTGTGGGCGAAACACGGCGGTCAACTGCGCACATCAGCGTCCCGCAAACAGTCATGAATTGAGTGACCATCGATCCGTCAATACACTGACACCCGGGTTCCTACTTACGGAGGTAAACAGAGGCGTGTGTGTGGGGTAAGGAAACTTGCCTAAGGTTTCGCCCGGTCCGGGAGTCAAACCCCTGTCCTCTCGCTTGTGAGGCGAGAGCTCTAACCGCTGCGCTACGGGAATTCCTTTCGAGGTACCATTAACATGTTTCTTTGGTGTTGTTTTCCAGTTCCTCCCTTAATCCAGCCGTTTGAGTTCCCGCCTGCGTCCATCGGCCAGCTCCTGTACATCCCCTGTGTGGTGTCGTCGGGGGACATGCCCATCCGCATCACCTGGAGGAAGGACGGTCAGGTCATCCTCTCGGGATCAGGGGTCACCATCGAGACCAAAGAGTTCATGAGCTCGCTGCAGATCTCCAGTGTGTCCCTCAAGCACAACGGCAACTACACCTGCATCGCCAGCAACGACGCAGCCACCGTCATGCGGGAACGGCAGCTCATCGTGAGAGGTTGGTGGATGTTTGTCGGTTTGTATCTTCCACTGAACCCCTCGCCGTCGCCCCCGCGCCCGCCCCCCCGCACCTCCCTCGCTCTCTCTCGCTCCCTCCCTCGCTCTCGATAAGAACATAATCATTTACTAGACCAAAGAAGGCCAAGGTCCATCCCAGTTTCGCCTTCCACCATCCTGCCAGACACATGTCACGTCCCAAACTGTATGCTATACTGTACCCCGAGATATTGTTTCCTAAACAACATAAGAATTCCTCCCTCCCTCCCCCCCTCCTTCCCTCCCTCCCTCCCCTTCCCTCCTCCCTCCCTCCCTCCCTCCCTCCCTGCCCCCCTCACACCCCAAACACGTTGCGTTCTCATACAAAGGTAACGCCATTTTGTTCTGTGTGTGTGTACGTGTGTGTGTGTGTGCATGTGTCTGTACATGTGTGTGCGTGCGTGTGTGCGGTTACGTGTGCGTGTGTATGTGCGTGCGTGTGTGTTGTGCAGTGCCCCCCCGCTTTGTGGTTCAGCCCAATAACCAGGACGGTATCTATGGGAAGGCTGGAGTGCTGAACTGCTCTGTAGACGGCTACCCTCCCCCAAAGGTCATGTGGAAACACGCCAAAGGTAACGTGTCGTCGGGGTGGGGGGGTGGGGTCTGGGGGGTGGGGGTGAGGGCAATGGAGGGGGGAAATACTAACATATATTCTAACATACTAATAATATAACAACATATAATAATAATATAATAACAGACAAATGTACTGTATATAATGATGTGCTCTTGACGTGAGGAGCACTTTACGAGTGTCAGTGGTATTAATGTGCTTGTGGATCAATGTGTCAGTGACGCTCTCAGTTGTTGGCTGATCGCTGACTTTGCTCCCTTTCCCTCACAGGCAGTGGGAACCCACAACAGTATCATCCCGTCCCACTGACCGGACGCATCCAGATCTTGGCTAATGGCTCCCTGTTGATCCGCCATGTTCTGGAGGAAGATATTGGCTATTACCTGTGTCAGGCCAGCAATGGGGTCGGGACTGACATCAGCAAGTCCATGTTTCTGACCGTGAAGAGTAAGTACTGTACCTCACGTCTTGTCTCAAGTCCCTGTAGCTCGGTGGTTGGAGCCCTCGCCTCGCAAGCGAGTGGAATCCAGGTTCGATTCCCAGGCCAGGGCATTTGAAACCTTAGGCAAGTTTCCTTACTCCGCACACCCGGCCCTGTTCACCCAGCAGTAAGTAGGAACCCAGTTGCGAGTCGCTTGGCGAATCACTTTCCAGTGGTAATAATCCCTTGAAAAAAATCAAATAAATAATAATAATGTTTGGCTGGGCAGCACTATTGGAAAAGTACCGGCATCCATCTCATTCCGAGATAGAGAGCTTTGATTTTCCAGCTCGTAATCAGTGCGGGGTTTACAGAGAGAGCTCAGTTGCTTATTGATTCCTGATTCAGGAAATTGATCCAGAAATGATCAGTGTGTTTCGTGGCTTGGGGGATCTGTGTGCTTAACTCGCCACTAGTCACTGGAGCCCTGGTTGTAAATTTCACATCGATCGGGCCTGTGAGCTTGTTTTTGTTGCCAATTAGACTCCATTAATGACTTTGCCAAACAGTGTGTGTGTGTGTGTGTAATGCAGCACAAGGGAATGAGCGAGTGAGAAAGAGGGAGGGAGAGAGAGTTACTGAGCCTTTAATATCATCTACACAGCAGCTCAATCCAGGACCTCCATAGATAGAAGCTTTGTTGAAGGTCTCATTCGAAGGGCTGCACTAGTAATATGATTAGTAATCATAATAATCCTTATGTTTGACACAGCACCTTTTATTGCTAGGAGGACGTCTTGAAGCACTTCACAGGAAGTACTGGAGGTAGTACAAGTTTAGACTAAGGTATAAGCCACGATTCTATATTGCAAAGGAGGGCAGAAATTAATAGGTGCAGAGATTAACTTGCCTTTTGTTGTTAGCCCGATTGTTAGTCGATTGGTGGATCGCTTTCCAGTGGTAATAATCCCTCTCACACCCCCCAAAAAAAAATAATTTGGTCACTCAATCCACAACTGTTTGTGGGGACGCTGCTGTGTGCAATTGGCTGCCGTGTCTCGCACACAAAATCCACAGTCGATTCACTTTACAGTATGCTCTGTAAAGCGCTTTGAGATGTCTCAATGACGTGATAGGGCACTGTATCAAACGCAAGGATTAATTGGAAAGTGTAGTGACTGTGTATTTTGTAAACCAACGCAGCCTGGGTGTGAAGGAATTAACTGAGGTGGTAATAATAGCCTCAAACTGTTTCTTCCTGGTGTCTCACTGGTGAACGAAACGCTAACAAGACTTTGAGGTTTCTTTGGCTGAGTTTGCCTACAAAGATGTGATAAGGCGCTATATCAAATGCAAGGATTATTATTATTATTATCCCCCCCACACACACACTCATTGTCTGCCCTGACTTGCCAGCTGTGCGGAGGGATAGTTTACGGTGTAATGATTGAGCACAGCAGGTTATGTGAATAGCAAGCTTCGTACAGAACAGTTCAATCAATAAGCACACGGAATCCCTCCAGGAAAAGATATTGATTTCGAAAAACAAGACAGTTGTCAAAACACATTGTAAGCTGCTCTTGGCTGTGAAATTACTCACCAGCTTGTACACTGTTGACTGGCTCAAGCCACTTACTGCTCAACACTTAAGTCCCACAGTGATGTATTTTCCTTGTTTGCAAGTAGACAAGCCATAGAGTAAACAGTCAGGTTCAGCTGTTTACTCGCCACTTTGGCAAGGAGAGTGAGGGTTCAAGCCCTGTGTCGGACATTGAGAGATCCTGTAGCACAGTTATATTATTACTCTAGTATAGGACAGACAACAGGAAGTGACTGGAATGACTGGAACACGGTTCCCAGGTGGGAGGGGGGGTGGCGGGGCCAGGACACTGGGACTCATTAAAAAAAACAGCTTGATGTTGTGATGGGGGGACGGTATAAGGTGGGTATTCTGGAGGGAGATCAGATGGGCTGAAGGACCTCTTTTATCCCAGTCGATCTTGTGGGGTTAGACCCACAGAATTTTTGGGGGGCTTTCTGGGAAAACCAGGATTGGGAAATCTCTCCCAGAGAACAACAACGACTTGCCCCCGAGCGCTTGACAGCGGCGGAGCACGACACTGAGCCGGGGGAGGGGGTGGGAGAGGGGGGGAGAGGGGGGAGTGGGGGGGGGACAATCAAAAAGGAAGGTGTTCAGGTGCGAGCTGAAGATGGGAAAGGAGGGGTGGGGGGCGGGGGGGAGGGATAGCTACAGTTAGCTACGGTCACGGCAAATCGACCGTTTGGTGGCTTCATTAAGCATTTCAATTAGTGACAAAGTTAATAATGAGTTCATAAACTTTTATGTTCACACACACACCAACGGTTGACTGTCCTTTGTGCTCAGAAAGCTTCTCGAAGCGAGTTTCTAAACTCACTACAGTTAGATTACAGTAATAAGTGTCGAGTCCCCGGTGAGCTGGAGTTGTGCGCAGCCAGTGAAGGGAGCAGATGAGGTTGGAGAAGGCGAGTTAATTTTGCTTTACAAAAACAAATTCAGCTCACGGGGAACAAAAAAGGTGCCTTTTGTTTTTCGAGTGAGGGAAAAACACGGCCCAAGGGAACCCAGCTGTCAATCCGGCAAGCCACTGTGTTTATTAACGTCCCAGTGCACGAGTAAATCACTCCACACGCCCGCTGTGATGACACAACAATATAATAATATAACTATAATAACATAATAATATTCCTTGCATTTGGTACAGCGCCTTATCACGCCGTTCAGACGCCTCAAAGGGCTACACAGAATATATTGTAAAGCGGAGTGACTGTGCATTTTGGGGGTGAAACGCGGCAGCCAATTGCGCACGGCAATTGCCCTAACCAGTACGCCACCGACTCTACGATATATCCACGTATATGCAAATATATATTTTTAAAAATCCTCGCTGATTTTTCACGTCGGCGCTCCCGAAGCACTCTAACTGCGTGAAGGGCGCCACACGTGTGCAAGTTGTTGCTGTCTCACAGCGGCGCCTCATGGGATTTCCTGTAAAGCGTAGTGACTGTGTGTTTCCCGGGCGGAGGGCGGGACCAGTTGGCGCACAGCGATGGCACGCGTGGAGGTCCTTAAAGCGGGAGATTCTAGGACAGCGGAGTTTCGCGCCGGGCTCAGTTTAGTGCTGGGATAAAGCCTCTGCATTTATCTGGAATCGACCGCACTAAAATATTTATTGTTTTGCCTGGGAGAGAAATTTTGTATTAAATCAGTGGAAAGGAAAGGCATTAGTGCTGACACGGCTCCTGAGAGCAGGGAAAGAGTTTTGCCTTATCTCTGCCGAGCTCCTGGCTTCTCTGTGCGCCAGAGGGAGTTGTAGGCAGTAAACCCGGTCTCTGACTGCGAGACTGACCCAAAGCTCCATTTACTGCTTGTGCAACAACACAAAACAACAAGAAAGTCTGTATCCTTCACTGAGACACCTCCTGAGATCTTGAGAGTACGTTTGAGATACATATATATTTTTATTGTACAGTCCCTACAGCGGATTGGTTAGAGCGCTCGCCTCGCAAGCGAGAGGACCCGGGTTCGATTCCCGGGCGGGGCGAGACCTTAACAAATGCAAGGATTATTATTATTATTATTATTATTACAAGAAGGGAATGTGTTTCTCCATCCCCGGATATCCTATATCCCGGACAATTATGAAGGAACACAACACGTTTAGGAAATACCATATTATTATTATTATTATTATATTATAAAGCCACTCTCTCCTCTTTGTAATCCAGTCCCCGCCATGATCACATCTCACCCCAACACCACCATCGCCATCAAAGGTCAGAACAAAGAGCTGAACTGCACAGCGAGAGGAGAACGGCCCATCATTATACGCTGGGAGAAGGAAGACACGGTCATTGACCCTGACAGGATGTTCCGCTACACGGTGGGAACCAAGGACAACGGGGAAGAGGTTGTCTCCACACTCAGGGTTCGTATCAGATTAGGTAGTTTTCCTTTGGGAAATAACATCATGGGATATAGCACATAGGGAGTTCGGGACATGTGTGTGCAAGCGTCTACCAGGGAGTTGGAAGGTGATGTAGGTGGGACCTTGGTCTTCTTTTTGTCTAGCATTTCTTATGTTCTTATGTGTCCTCGTTTTCATAGAATCGTACAATCTTATAGCACAGAAGGAGGCCATTTGGCCCATTCTGCCTGTGCCAGCTCTTTGAAAGGGCTACCCAACTAGTCCCACTCCCCGGCCTTATCCCCTCACCTCCGTTCTTACCCCCATAGCCTTGCAAATGTTTCCTTTTTGCATTTTCATTCAAAATGTGCGTTTCCTCCTAATTTCCCAAATCGCAATGTAAAAGCATGAACTACACACACGGGGACAGAGAAAACCCCTACTTTTTTCAAGTAGGATCACCTTGCTGGCCCCCCCACCGCCCCAATTCCCTTGTCTCTTTCAAGACCCTCCTCTTTGGCCACCCTTCCTGCCCTCCACCCCTTACTGATCCTCCAGCCTCGGGTCCAAATCCCTGACTATCCCTCGTTTTGGAAGGTCCTCCCAACATGAAAGGCGCTGCATAAATGTTATTTGTTGTTGTTGTTATGCAGTAATCCCTGACCACCCCTCACTTTAATGCTCGCTTCTCTTCCTGTGTAGATTGTGCCCGCTGACCGGGGAGACTCAGGATTCTTCTCCTGCCACGCAATCAATTCATACGGAGAAGATCGGGGTCTCATCCAGCTCACGGTTCAAGGTACTGCCTTGTGCCTGAACATCGCGCTCTACGTGCCATAATAAACCTCGATGGGTTTCGTACGATAAGCAAAAGGCGCATCCAGGACTGTAAGAGTTCATTAACGCTCTCCGATCTCCTCTACTCTCCTATTCTCTTCTCTGCAGAGCCGCCTGACCCACCTGAGCTGGAGATCCGGGAGGTGAAAGCTCGCAGTATGAACCTCCGCTGGACTCAGAGATTCGACGGGAACAGTCTGATCCTCGGCTTCGATATCGAATACAAGAACAAGTCAGGTAATCGTCGACAAACCCCCTCCCCAACCCTAACCCCGAGAGAACCGGGGTTCGATTCCCGGATGGAACGAAACCTTAGGAACCTTAAGTAGGAACCGGATTGTTAGTCGATTGGTGGATCTCTAATTGGGGATAATAATCTTTTCAAAAATAAACAATAATAATTCGGTCACTCAACCCACAACTGTTTGTGGGGACGCTGCTGTGCGCAAATGGCTGCCGCGTTTCGCCCACAAAATATACAGTCAATCCAATTTACAGTGTGTCCTGTGAAGCGCTTTGATACGTCTCGAAGACGTGATAAGACGCTGTATCAAATGCCAGGATTATTATTATTATATAGTGCCTCTCACATCAGTGTGGGGGGTGGCCTCAAAGTTCTTAGTTCTAAACAAAGCGAAGAACCCAACCTAACTCCAGCAACAACAACAACAACAACAAAATTAAATGGGATCCACAGTTCCCTTTGGGAAGCACATTAGAAGCATTTAATCGGCTTCCATAATTCAATGCTGTAAATCCAAACCCTGTCTTTGTCCGCACTGTGGGAGATTAAAATATGATTACAGTTTAGTAAATTAATGTTGTGCAGGAAGAACGGTGAATATTAATTACCACCCTGTGTACGGCAACACTTGGGCTTGGATAGAACTGTCAGCCTTTCCATCCATCATACGTTTGGGCAGTCAATTCCAATAGAGCAGATTATTTTTAAAGGTAATCCATGTTCAGATACAGCGCACTTCAATCAAGTTTATTGGTGTAACTAAATTAATTAAGGGAAGTCAGTGACCGGGATATTTTCTCTACGTACAGCACCAGCTGTTGAGAATTCCATCATCATTATTTAGCACGGATCTTTCATAATCTTTGCTTTGGGATACATTGGCTATCAGGTCGAAAGGTCCCAAAGGGATTTACAGTGAATACAGTGTGTGTGTGTTGTGTGCGTGTGTTGTGTGTGTGTTGTGTGTGTTGTGTTGTGTGTGTGTTGTGTGTGGCTATTGATTTGGTGTCTCTCATCTTTCCTCAGATTCCTGGGACCTGAAGCAGAGCACACGAAACATCAACCCCACCATTAACCAGGCCAACATAGTAGACCTGCATCCAGCCTCTGTCTACAGCATCCGCATATACTCCTTCAACAAGATAGGCCGGAGCGATCCCAGCAAAGAGCTGACTGTTAGTACAGAGGAAGCAGGTAAGGAACCTACAACAGCAACAACAACTTGCATTTATAATAGCGTCTCGGAGCGCTTGTCAGTGTATCAGACCGGTTGTTCAAAGCCCAGGCTTATGGACTGTGTTCGAGATAGGGGGCAGGGAAGAGGCGGCAGAGGTGGTGGTGGGGCGAAGGGGGGGAGGGGGTTGCGGGGTTAGCTAGCTTATGGCTACTTTTCTAGCGGGGACCCACTTGAGACAGTGGGGTTAACAGGAGCCGAGATTCAAAGAATTCTTGCATCCGCTTCATATTTACTGAAACTCCTAGTACAATAGAAGTTAGAAGATGCCACCCAGATAGCAGGAAAGTCTCCTTGTGCTCAATAACCAGCCAATACCTATTGCTGTGAGGCCTGTTTGGCATTGCACTGTGTGGATTACACAATGCCTGGATCAGTTTGTATCTATAATGCAACACAGATACATTTAACGGTTGGTTGAACAACCATTAGACAATACAAGACAATATCTCTTCTGGACCCCGAGAGAAAGGATGCTTTGAGGGAATCAAAATTGTGCTTGCTTGAGATTTTTTTTTTATCTGCCCAATGGCATATGAAACTGGCAATTGAATTCATGCGTCTCGTTTGTGGAAACTCTACTTTAATCCGTAAAGACAGCGGAACACTAGGTGAATAAGGTCTTTAACTGTAGCATCGCTGGAGTGTGTGGAACATAGGAAATATTGATTTATCCACCTCAGTGCTTACACAGTGTTTTCGCTGGATAGTGAAGGGTTTGAGGCTGAGCTGGGGGGGGGGCGGGCGGGGGGGTTGGAATCAAGGGCGGTGGGGGTGGGAGGGCGGGGCAGAGGGATTGTGAGATGGAGTTCCAAAGGGAGGTTTTCCGGGGGTAATAATCCACTCAAAAAAAAATGAGGGTTTGGTCAATCAATGTTTCTGGGGCACTGCCGTGCGCAATTGACTGCCGTGCGTTTCGTCCGCAAAGTACCGTTAAATCACTTGACAGTATATTCTGTGAAGGACTTTGAGACGTCTCAAAGACAGCGATAAGGCGTTATATCCAATGCAAGGATTATTACTATTATTATTATTATTTTTTGCTCAATTACTCAGAAATCTACTGAAATTTCCTCCCACAGCTCCTGATGGACCTCCCATGGAGGTTATATTGCAGCCGGTGACGTCTCAAAGCATCAGAGTTACTTGGAAGGTAAAGATTTTTTAACAGTATTTTTTTGTGTGGCGATTTCGGACTTTTACCTCCTTAAAAGGTGACTGGCCTGGAATTGGCGTCTCGTTGACGACGCACTGTGACTGAAATCCGGAAGGTTTGTGGGTAAATCGAGCATTGGTTACAAGCTCCAGTTATAGGCTTGACTTCTTTTGAATAGACTCCCAGAGGCCAGAGTCAGGGTTTCAGGGTGACTGGGGAGAGAAAACGTGGGAAAATGTATAATTAAACAAACAACCACAATAAGTTGTGTTTACGTACAGTAAATCTCGCATAAGTCTGATCTGTATAAATCGTATAATCGCTTAAGTTGTACATCTGCCCGAGTGTCGATCAGGAGTTTATATTCTATGCGAGTTTGACTTAACTCATACGTGGCATAAGTACCCGCAGGATCCGCTTGGTTGGCTCCAGCCTCTTGCTTGTGCCCCCGTGCCCTCTGTTCCACTATCGGTGGCCGTGCTTTCAGCCATTACGTCCCGAAACTCTGGAACACTCACCCTCCATCCCTCGGCCTCGTCCTCTTCCTTCCCCATCTTCAGGTCACGCCTGAAAACCTTCCCCTTCCTCACCTCCCCCCCAGCTCTGGGTCGTGCTCTGACACGGTCAAGCACTCTGGGACGCTACACTGCGTGAGGGGGTCCAATAGTCTTTTTCTATGTGGTCAACCCTCAGGCACCCAGGAAAGAGCTTCAAAATGGCGTGATACGAGGCTACCAGATTGGTTATCGGGAGAACGGCCCAGGAAGCAATGGTCAGTACAGTATCGTGGAGATGAAAGCCACCGGTGACAACGAGGTCTACACGCTGGACAATCTGAAGAAGTTTGCTCAGTATGGGGTCGTGGTGCAGGCGTTCAACAGAGCCGGCACGGGACCCTCCTCCTCCGAGATCAACGCCACCACGCTCGAAGATGGTACGTTGGTGTGGAGTTCTGTAGTGTAGTGATCAGAGCGCTCGCCTCGCAAGCGAGAGGACCGTGTTCGATACCCGGGCCGGGCAAAACCTTAGACAAGTTTCCTTACTCCTCACTCTTACGCCTTTGATACCCAAAGTAAGTAGTAAGTAGGAACCTTGTTATTAGTCGATTGGTGGATCCCATTTCCGGGAGTAATAATTCCTCGAAAAACATAATAATAATAATAATTTGGTCAAGCGATCCGTGATTGTTGTGGGACGCTGCTGTGCGCAATTGGCTGCCGCGTTTTGCCCACAAAATACACAGTCACTCCACTTTACAGTATATCCTGTGAAGCGCTTTGAGGTGTCCTAGCAACGTGACAAGGCCCTTATACCAAATGCAAGAAGTATTATTATTTATCTATATACTTAGCCCTACCAAAGCTGCCTTTAACTGCCGTGGTGGGTGGGAAGAGAGTAAAAGAAAGAAAATCCTGCAGAAATATTTCACCTTTCAAGAATGAAAGTAAAGAAAGGTCGGCGTAACCGCAGGTTAAGGTCCTTCTTTCCGCTCTTTCTGGAGACGATTTATTAAAAGCTGTGATTTTTTTTCCCTTAGAAACGTGGGCTAGCAAATACCGCCTGAATCTCCCCCATTTCTCATGGTGATTGTTTTCCAACAATGAGGCACCAATCAGTACTTACAGGGTCTCGAATCCAAATTACAGTGGATCTGTAGTCTAATTAAAGTGATGTCAGCCTGGATTTACAATTCAATGATTGGCTTTTAATGAGCGTAGCACCCTGTAATCTGCCGCGCTGTCATCAGCAGCGCTATCTGTAAGGCTGTTATCAGCATAATTCAGCCCGGAATAATTGATGTCACAGTTTTCCGACACATAAAGGGAGAAGAGTATAATGTGCGTCCTCTCCACGCTTTGTGAAGCTTCGGGTACGTGAGGAGGTCTGAATAAATTCCTGGCCGATGCCGACCTTATCTGGCACTGTTCTTTTATAGAAGACTGAGAAAATTGGGTGTTTTGCCCATCTCGCAGCTTGGTGCAAGCCTAGTGTCTGTTTAACTGTAGTGCAGTGGTTAGCGCGATCGCCTCGCAAGCAAGAGGACCCGGGTTTGACTCCCAGGCGGGGCAAAACCTTACCCCGCACACCTGCGTTTACCTACTAATAAGTAGGAATCTGTTTGTTAGTCGATTGGCGGATTGCTTTCCAGGGTAATAATTCGGTTCAACAAAAAATAATTTGATCACTCAGTCTAAGACTGTTTGTGGGACACTGCCGTGTGCAATTGGCTGCTGCGTTTCATCCATAAAATACAAAGTCACTGCACTTTACAGTATATTCTGTGAAGCGCTTTGAGATGTCTCGAAGACGTGAAAAGCATTATATCAAATTGCAAGGATTATTATTATTATTAAATGATCCTCGCATTCGACATAGCGCCTGATCGCGTCTTCAAGACGTCTCAAAACGCTTCACAGAATATACTGTAAAGTGAATTGACTCCGCGATTAAAAAAATCATTGCCTTGATGGCAGTTTGTGGGATGTTGGTGAGTGCAAATTGGTTGCTGCATTTGCCTACAAGTAAAAGAAACTCTGTGCAGTGCCTTTCGAGTTGATAAGACACTGTATCAAAAGCAAGGATTATTATTGTTGTAAAACAGGGCAAGGTTTTACCTCAAAGCATTTCAAATCTCAACCATGAAAGGAATTATTGATTAGTTAATACTCTACTCAGCTCTGGGTGATAATTAACTGGATGCAAATTGCAGTAATTAAATCAGCCCATCAGGGTGTCACATTGGCCTCGTAAAAAAATAAAATTCATTAATAATTTCAATTGAGGATTGAGAGGATGCACTTGGGGGAAAAAAAAATCAGCTTTAACTAAAAGTTGAGAACAATAGTAATCCTTGCATTTGGCACAGCGCCTTATCTCTTTCCCCCAAGCATCTCAAAGCTGTTCACAGAATTTTTATCCGAATAATAATTATAACGATAATCCTTGAATTTGATACAGCGCCTGATCAAGTCTTTGAGACGTCTCAAAGCCCTTTAAAGTCTTAAGTATAGTAACTGTGTACTTATAGATGAGCAGGGCAGAACTCATTGCGCACAGAAACCCCCACAAATAGCCGCAAAGCGAATGACCACTTTTTATCTGGTGGGGACGGGGTTGGGGGGAATGGGTTGACGGAGGGGTGGGGGGGTGGGGGAGAGCAGATTGTCAGCCAGGACACCGGGAGAGAAAACCTCCCTTCTCTTTTCGAGTAGCGCCGCGGGAGATCTTTAACGTCTCAAGCTACCGGCCCATCTCCAACCTCCCCTTCCTGTCCAAGGTCCTGGAACGAGTTGTGGCCTCCCAGCTGCGCTCTTTCCTCTCCACCCATTCACTATTCGAACCCCTTCAGTCGGGTTTCGGTGCTGCCCATAGCACAGAAACTGCCCTGGTCAAGGTCACCAATGATATCCTGACCATCTGTGACCAGGGCTCCCTCTGCCTCCTCGTCCTCCTCGACCTATCGGCAGCATTCGATACGGTCGACCACGCTATCCTCCTCCACCGCTTGTCCTCCCACCTAAACCTTCAAGGCACTGTCCTTGAGTGGTTTAGGTCGTACCTCTCCCACCGTCTTCAATATGTTTCCACGAATGGCTTTTCCTCCACCTCCCGCACTGTCTCGTGTGGTGTCCCTCAGGGCTCTGTCCTCGGTCCCCTCCTCTTCACCCTCTATATGCTCCCCCTGTGGTGACATCATCCGCAGACATGGGGTTCACTCCCACATGTATGCAGATGACACTCAACTCTACCTTTCCTCCTCTACCCTCAACTCCACGACCCCCGATGTCCTGACCACTGTCTGTCCGACATCGAGTCCGGGACGAGAGACAACTTTCTTCAGCTCAACGTGCGCAAAACTGAGGCCCTCCTGATTGGCTCACGTCAGCGCCTCCGCACCTCAGGCACTGACACCATCAGCATCCAAGGCTGCACTCTCCACCTCTCAAAGCCATCAGGAACCTCGGGGTTCTGTTCGACCCTGAGCTGTCCTTTCTCCCTCATATCCGCACCACAACTGGCACCGCCTTCCATCACCTCCGAAACATCACCAGACTATGGCACTACCTCACCCCTCACGCGGCTGAAACTCTGGTCCACGCCTTCATCACCTCAAGGCTGGACTATGGGAACTCTCTCCTCGCCGGCCTTCCCGGCCCTCCCTCCACACTGCAGGTCATCCAGAACTCTGCAGCTCGTGTACTGTCCTGCACCAGACACCGCGACCACATCACTCCCACCCTCACCCTCGCCCTCACCCTCACCCTCGCCCTCACCCTCACCCTCGCTCGCCTCCACTGGCTCCCCATCCCCCAGAGGATCGAATTCAAGATCCTCATCCTCACCTACAAGGCCATTCACGGCCTCACTCCCTCCAACCTCTCCGACCTACTATCCCCCTACCTACCTGCCCGTACCCTCCGATCCTTTGGCTCGGGGCTGCTCCACATCCCCCGCCCCAACCGCCCTACCATCGGTGGTCAGGCCTTCAGCCCCGAGGCTCTGTAACTCCATCCTCCGGTGCCTTCGCCGCTTCCTCCCTTTCCTCCTTCAATGACGGTCTCAAGACCTTTCTCTTTGACCGTGTCTTCAGCTCCCCTCTCGACTCTCTACCCCCTCCTCGCTCCCTCCCTTCCCTCCCCTCACCCTGACCATTTTCCCCTCCTCGCTCCCTCCCTTCCCTCCCCTCACCATTCCCCCCCAATGCTCGGGTCCTGACCCAACTGTCCAGCGCCTTGGGACGTCCTCCCGACGTGAAAGGCGCTCTATAAATGGAATCTTGTTGTTGTTGTTGTTGTCTCGACCTGAACAAGGCGCGGAGGGCAAAAAAAAAACAACAGAACAACATCAACTTGCACTTACATAGCGTCCTCCACGCCGGGTGGGTCTCAGGGGGTTTCACTGGAGGAACTCCTCTCTGTCTCTCTCTCTTGTGATAACAACAATCAAATGCGTCAAATGAATCAGAGTTAAAGGGTGGTTCGTGTTTGATTTACTGTATTGGACCCTTGTCCTCTCGTTGGCCCGTGCTCTCTATGAGACAGATACTGTTCAACAATTACAAGAGCGCTATCCGCGACCCAAATTGGCCCTTTAGAGACAGCTGGAGGTTAGGAAGAGACATTCAACTGGGTTCACTCTATTTCTGTTGTACAAATGGAGCTATTGATTTTCTTAGCAAGAAATCAATAGCACAAGGTGCAGTGCTCTGACTCCTAACACGATCTACACAGAGACCCAATGTTGTGTGAGTAGTTAAGTGTGAGGAATGTTATAGACAGAGAGAGAGACAGTCTTCAATGAATGAACAACACACGGTGGCAGATTCCAGGGCAAATAGAGGCAAGACGGCATGATATCAGGACTCAAATAATAATAATAATAATCCTTGCATTTGATGTAGCGCTTTTCACGTCGGGAGGACGTCCCAAAGCGCTTCACAGAACACACTGTAAAGTGAATTGACTGTATATTTGTGGGCGAACGCGGCAGCCAATTGCGCACAGCAATGTCCCACAAACGGTCGTAGATTGAAAATGACCAATTTATTATTGTTTTTGGTTTTGGAGGGATTATTATTAGGCTCTGTGTGGAGTAAGGAAACTTGCCCAAGACATTAGATAAAAAGGGGGACAAAGAATGTTGGGGTGGGGGGGTGGGGTTAAGTGTGGTGTGTCTTATTACAAATGACCTATGAAGTTGAGCTTGTTTATCAGAAAAATATATAAGGATATATATATATAAAATATGAATAATAAGAAGACATAATACTAATAATATTTGCAATTGATACAACGCCTTATCAAGTCGTTCAGACGTCTCAAAGGGCTTCATAGAATATACTGTAAAATGAACTGACTGTATATTTTGTGGACAAAAGTAATATTTATGGGTGCAGGGAGCGAGCCAGGGGAATGGGATTAAAGTATTGATCCAGAGACCGAGACAGAGTTACAATACTTCATGTTGTAGACTGTCAAACATGACTGACCTTATAGAACACTTCCATCCGGCAGCAAGAGCTGCCCTTACTGGTGCTTTGATATTGAGGTTACTGGCGATATTTTGTCACTTGGCCCTAACCTACCATGTATTTTATTCTTAATTTATTCTCTTTTCTCTCACTCCTCCCCTCGTTCTCTCGCTCCTCCCCTCCTACTCTCCCTCTCCCTCCCCTTCTCCTCCCTCTTCCCCCTCTCCCCCTCCCTCCCTCCCTCGTCCCCTCCCTTTCTTCGTCCCCTCCCCCTCTCCAGTTCCCAGCCAACCTCCCGACAATGTCAAAGCCGTGTCCATCTCCTCTGACGTGGTGACCATCTCCTGGTCCCCTCCGCCTCGCAGCACGCTGAACGGAGTGCTGAAGGGATTCCGAGTCATCTATTGGTCCATGCACCGAGACGGAGGTCAGTCAACAGTTCCCCCTTCGCCCGATGCACACCGGCAACTTTTAGCCGCCATTTTGTTCTCTTTGGGCTACACAAACCCCGTGACTACGTGACACTTCGTGCCGCGTTCCATGGGATACCTGGTATGAGACGTCTGAGTTAAATGCGACCACAAATGCACAGTCACTACACTGGTGGAAACGACACGCTGAATGGCCTCCTACTACTCCTACTTCCGGTGATAACATGGATATGGAGACCTGTAGTTTAGTTAAAGCGCTCGCCTCGCAAGCGAGAAGACTCGGGTTCGATTCCTGCGCAGAGCGAAACCTTAAGCAAGTTTCCACGCACCTCTGTTGACCTAACAGTCAGTAGGAACCCAGTTACTAGTCGATTGGCCGATTGCTTTCAGGTGGTAATAATCCCTCCAAAAAAAATAATAATTTGGTCACTCATTCCATGACTGTTTGTGGGACGCCGCTGTGCGCAATTGGCTGCCGCGTTTCACCCACAAAGTACAGTCGATTAACTTTGCAGCATATTCTGTGAAGCGCTTTAGGACGTCTCAACGACGTGATGAGGCGCCATGTCAAATGGGAGGATTATTATTACCATTAATTATTAATTATTGCAATGCGCCCGGTAATAAAATTAGTCTTCTCTCTTTCCTTCCCCCATCTCCCCCTTCAAATCTCTTCCTGGCATAGACTGGGGGCAGATGCAGAACATCACCACCACCAAGAACAGAGTGGAACTGAAAGGGCTGGAGAAGTTCACCAACTACAGTGTGCAGGTCCTAGCGTTCACTCAGGCGGGCGACGGAGTTCGCAGTGTGGTCCTCTATATGCAGACCAAGGAAGACAGTAAGGACCTTTCCTCTGTTATTGGGCTCTTTTTCTTGCACAGTTTATTTTGTTTGCATTATTGTGACCAGAACTATTCAGCAGAACCTTCACAAAGGAGCCAGCGGGAATGGGGCCGGGGGGGGGGGTGGGATGTTTTTTTTTATTTTGGGAGGTCAGCCGTCACCGTGCTTAAGACTGAGAATTCCAGGTATCTCACCTACACATGGAAATTCCAGAGATAGTTTGTTGGAATGGAAAACGCTCTCTCTCTCTCTCTCTGGAGGGATGTATCCTGCTTACCTAATACTGGAAGGTATTAGGCGCAGGTTGGCAAGAGCCAAGGCTTAGGGGGGCGGAGGTGGGGGGGTGTCCAAAGTGTGCGTTGGGGTAACTGCTAGAGTCTAAGCAGCTAAAAACGAATAGCTTGCCATTGATATCACTGTCCGGCAAGCTTTCCCGCTGCCTGTCCAGCTGGGACCACCCAATCTATTCGGGTTTTGGCTGCAGGGTTGACAGGAGTTGAGTGGGACGATTTCCTGCCCCTAGTGTCTCTCATCTGAAGCGTGATGAAGGGCGGGGGTGGAGAGGAGTCAAAATAGTTTGACGATGGCTGGTTAGCAGAGATGTACCCATCACTGTATCAAGCTTCAAGCAAGAGCCAAAGCTTGGGTTTGCCAAGAGCCAAGGAGGATAGGGGAAGGGGGAAGGGAAGGAAGTAGAAAGAGGAAACAAAGTGGGGGGTGGGGGAGAATTAAGTTACTCCAACCACCAACGCTGGAGCAGTGTGTATCCAGCCCGCTTGTCTTGCCGACGCCAAGAAAAAAGTGATTGAAAATGAAAATCGTTCCTAATCACAGACTGTAGCCTGAAATTAAAGCCTCATCGTCTTGCGAGCTCCAATCGTGTCACGTTCACAATCCATTGTAGTGCGTCACCTGCAAGCTTATTAATTAAGCAGTCATGGTGAACAAAGAGAAGGGGTGGGGGGGGTGAATGGGATTGGAGTAGAGAGCTCCAGTGGGGGAGCGAGCCCCAGCACAGATAAGATCGGGAGAGAGAAAGAGAGAGCAGGGAATCGGGTTAGAGTAGAGAGATCCAGTGGGGAAGCGAGCCCGAGCACAGATACGATGGGGAGAGAGAGAGAGCAGAGAATGGGTTAGAGTAGAGAGCTCCAGTGGGGGAGCTTTCTACTCTAGTCCCCATCATGGCTGTTCTGGTGCTCTCTCCCCCATTGGAGCTCTCTTAATCTATTCCCATTCATTCTACTATTTGCTCATTGTTTTATATTGTCCAGAACAGTAGAACCAGAGCGCATGGTCTGCAATTGAAGGGGAGTAAATTGAGAATAAATCTGGGGAAACACTACTTCAGTGAGCGAGCGGTAAACGTGGGGAACAGATTCCCTCGGGAGATGGACGTTTGAAACAGAAAGTGTTGATTCTTCCAAGAACAAATGAGAAGATTTCTGTTAGGAAATAACATCTGGGGGGGATACAGGATATAGTTTGAGGGACGACATATCAAGCAATGGCAAGGATGGCGGAAGGCAAGGTGAATGGATCTTGGTCTTCTTTTGTCCAGTAAATTCTTATGATCTTAGGGATGAGATTTCCGTGAGTGTCGGGCAAATGGTGCAACCAAAGAGCCAAAGGGGTTAATAGAGTAAAAAAAAAGTCTCATTAATAAGGGTAACTGCCGGGAAGCATGTTCTTGGGGTGCTGTGATGGCTAGGAAACTAATTTAATTGCACTCAGAACGAGCTAGACCGTTCTCCTCAGTTTCCCCGCTCCCTTCGTGACCATTAACGTAGCAGGAGGGGGAGAGGGGGAAGAGTGCGGGAAGGGAAAACGGGAAGCTCTCAGTCTTAATAGGAAATCCTGGCCCGGGAACCGAACAAACAAGCGAACTCGTCAATGGTAAAATGGTTACCATTCGTCAGAGGGAGTCCCCGGGGTATGAAATGCCGAATAATTGTAATAAATATTTTCTTTAAAAAAATAAAATGGCTTCCGCCAGAGTATTGAGCTGTGGTTCGTAGTGAAGCCTTACCTTAGACCTGATTTTTTTTTAGTAATTTATAGTATAAATCTTTCACGGCGTATCTGATGCCCTTGCGCTCTAAATAGAATAGCCTCGGGTTAGAAATCAGGTCAGCGTGCTAGACTTTATGCAGTTTTTATGAAGGATTAAGAGGTTCAAACAGGGTTGGGGAGTGGGGTGGGATGGGGTGGGGGGAGGAGTTGTTGGAGGTAGGTAGGATTAATCTACCTATAACGTTCCCTGCTTGAACCTGATTGAGGTATACCAAATAATAAAGGGATTCGATAGGGCAGCTACAGAGAAACTATTTCCTCTGGTGGGTGGGGGGGAATCCAGAACAAGGGGGACATCATCTTAAAATTCGAGCCATTTTGGAGTGAAATCCGGAGGCAGTTTTTCACGCAAAGGCCAGTGGGCATCTGGGACTCTCTCCCTCCCCTAAAAAGGCTGTGGACTATGGTTGGATCCATTCACATTGTCCAGACTGAGGTGGAGAGATGTTTGTTAGGTCAAGATTTCAAAGGATAGAGGATGTAATAGAATGGCGGAACAGGCTCGAGGGGCTGAATGGCCTCCTCCTGTTCCTATGTTCCTATGCAACTGCTACTACCCCCGTTTCAAAGCGGGTGCAGAGAACACGGATCAACATTGAACACGGAAATGTGCCGTGACCACATTCGCCCTCTGGTCATCCTAAATATTGGGATTTATCATAATGTCGCGAGTCATAATGCTTTCACATTAAAGGGTATGAAATGGAGATTAAAATTGCGGCGCAGCGTTCTCTTTCTCTCTCTCTCTCTCTCCCTTTCTCCCTTTCTCTCTCTCTCTCTCTCACGACCCAAACCATCACAAAATAGCTTTAAGCTCCTTAAGATTTAATAAGCACGAAACCCTCCCTCTCCTTTACATGTCTGGTTCATATTTTTTTTCCGGTCTCCAAAAAAAATAAGAGACACAGAGAGAGAGAGAGAGAGAGAGAGAGACAAAAACGCACTCCCCGAAGCCAGGATTAGACCCACATCTAATTAAAACCGTCAACCAATGTTTTGTTAGTTCTGTTGTTGTTAGAAAATCTCAGTAACACTCCTGGCAACGTGGGAAATACAACAACAACAGCAACAACGAGCGTTCGCACAGCCTGTCAGTGGCGGAGCCCGTCTGCGAGCCGGTGGGAGGGGTCGGAGAGCAAGTGGGGCAAGGACGGGGCACGCCTGAGGCTTTGGGAGGGGGGCAACGAGAGAGTTCCAAAGCTAATCTGCTTCCTGGGTTTTTCTTTCCCTTTTTCCCTCCCGCTCCGCAGTCCCGGGACCTCCCTCTGGGATCAAAGCCGTGCCCTCCTCCGCCAGCAGCGTGGTGGTGTCCTGGCTGCCCCCTGCCAAGCCGAACGGAATCATCCGGAAGTACACCATCTTCTGCTCCAGTCCTGGGTCGAGGCAGCCGGTAAGGAGCCAATAACTCGCACCGCAACAACAGAGACAAACCACAGACCAGCAGCGCGTACCACACTGGGAGGACATCCCAAGGCGCTGGACAGTCAAGGATGTTAAAGCCCCCACTCCTCCCCACCCCCACCCCACCCCAACCCCCACGTTGGGACTTTGAGCTCACAGTCTGGGCTGATGCTCCAACACAGAGCTTTGCAATGTCAGAGATGCTCTTCTCTGGGAGATTTAGATGGAGGGGAGAGTTGGGGGGACGGGGGCTTCCAGAGGTTGGGGGAGGAATGACTGATGGTGGGATGGGAGGAAGGGTGGGGGAGTGGGTGGGGGGGGGGGGAGGGGTAGGCCTGGGTTAGCTGAGAGGATGGGTCCAAGGAGAACGGAGTGAGATCAGAGAGCCGGGGCGAGAGGGTGACAAACAGGAGCCCGCGAGACATTCGCCGGGAGAGGAACAGCCGAGAACCTGCCGTCCCTTTAAGAAAACGGCGATTTGGTTAAAAAAAAATCATAAAAAAAAGACACAGTCTGTCGGGACTGCGGCCCCCGACCGGGAAGGAGAGGAATTTTTGCTGCAACGTAATGCAATTCCTCGGCAAATGACACGTATTTGTAGCTTTTATTTTTTTTCCATTGCGGTTTTGACAAGATGTCAGCGAATCACAGTATCACCATTCCCCGCCGTTTCCAACAGCCGCTTTGATGGGCAAGTGCGTGGCCGTGGAGACCCCCCGCACGGCTCAGAAGCTCGAAGAGTCACCCCGGCCCTTCCCCCACCCCCTACCCCCACCCCCACCCTCCCCCCCCCCCCCACCCTCGGTTCCCTTTTCCTTTTGAAAAATAAATAAACAAAAGAGCAAATAATAATTTGGTCACTTCAATGCACGACTGTCTGTGGGGGGGACGCTGCTGTGCGCAATTGGCTGCCGCGTTTCGCCCGTAAAATACAGTCACTACGCTCCGCACCATATTCTGTGAAGCGCTTTGAGACGTCTCAAAGCCGTGATCAGGCGCTGTATCAAATGCAAGGATTATTATTATTATTATTGTTAAAAGCAGTGATTTTTTGGGGGGGGAGTGGGGGAGAGGGAGGAGGGATTTCTCATATTATCCGCAGAAAGGATTATTATATTATTAATACTGTTCGGATAAATTGAAAAGGGATCTTGTGGCGTGTTTATCTTGGGGTTTGCCCTGTTCCTATCCGAACCCGATTGAGAATTCCCCACAAATCCCGGAGAGAATGCTCTCTCTCTCTCTCTCTCCCTCTCTCTCTGCTTACCTAATTCCGGAGAGTATTAGGCGCAGGTTGGCGAGCGCCAAGTCTTGGGTGGCGGTGGTGGTGGGGGTGGGGGGTGGGAGTGGGGGTGGGGGAGGCGATCGCAGAGCCCAGAGTGTGCGTTGGGGGTAACTGCTGGAGTCTGACCCGGTAAAGCCGCGTCGCTTGGGGGTTCAGAGCGTTGTCTGGCTGAGCTTTCCCGCTGTGCTCCGCAGGCTCCCAGCGAGTACGAGGCTTCGCCGGAGACTCTGTATTACCGTATCCCGAACCTGTACCAGGGGCAGCAGTACATGCTGTGGGTGGCGGCGGTGACCTCAGCCGGGAGAGGCAACCGCAGCGAGAAAGTAACCGTGGAGCCGACTTTGAAGGGTAAATAATGTAACCGAGAGCTCCGGAAGATCTCACGGGGTGGGGGGCGGGGGGGGGGGGGGGTGTGCGACATCGATCAGCAATCCCCACCCCCGCCCCCACACCCCCGGCCGGCTCCATCCAGACAACAACAACTGCTTGTATCCCTGAGCCGGGGGGGTGGGGAGGGAGGGAGGGAGGGGGGGGAGGGAGGGGGGGGAGGGAGGGGGGGAGGAAGGGAGATGACCTTAATCACAATCCAAAAAGGAAGCTCTTTCAAGACGGGGTTTGAAAGCGGGGAGCGAACCCCCAAATGGCCCACATCCGGGATGACCATAGGAAGTGACATCAGCGACCCGCGTTTTGCAGCACATATGGAGACCCCCACCCGCCCCGCGCGCGCGCCCACACCGCGCCCCCCCCCCCCCCCGCTGCAATGGGGTGCACATTTTGGATGGGGGGCAGTAAATGATAGGGTCCAGGGAGACGGAGGCGGGGGGTGGGGTGGGGGGGGGGAGTTGTTGGGTAATTTCCTGATCGTGGCCCACAGCGATGAGTGTGCTCAACGAAGTCGACGGTGACCTGAGGAACCCCTGGAAGTGCTTCCCAGTGGCCACAGTAGAGTGCGACCTGTTATAAAATGGGAAGGTGGGATGGGGGTGATGGTGGGGGCGGGGGGGGGAACAGGCTCGTATTTAATGGTCCCTCCACCCCCTCCCAACCACCCGACACCCAACCATCCCCTCCCTAACCACCACATGACAAGGAGGTCAGTCCGTGTCTTGTGCTGTACTGTCTAACCAGACGCCCCCACCCCCTCACTGTGTGTGTGTTGACTTTCAGCTCCGGCCAAAATCATCGCCTTTGGGGGTACGGTGACCACACCCTGGATGAGGGACGTGGTGTTGCCGTGTCGAGCCGTGGGCGAACCGGTGCCCACCATAAAGTGGACCAAAGACAGGTAACGTGACGAGGCGTTACGCGAATCCCTGCAGCTCAGCGGTTACAGCACTCGCCCCTACAAGCGAGAGCACCCGCGTTCGATTCCCGGTTCAGGGTGAAACGTCGGGCAAGAGTTTACCCAGCAATTTCCGGGGGGGGTAATAATCCCTTCAAAATAAATAATAATAAAACAGTCACTTTAATCCCCGGCTGTTTGTGGGACACTCTGCTGTGCGCAATTGGCTGCCGCGCTTCGCCCGCATATACAGTCAATCCACGCTTTGAGCACGTGATAAGGCGCTGTGTCAAATGCAAGGATTATTATTAATATTATCATTATTGTTAATATTATTGTTATTATTGTGAACTCTCGTCACCGGGTGAGAGCATCACACGGTCTGTGGCTGAGCCATCGATGGCAATAGAACGCCCTCCGGTGGCTCTTGAGAGGCTCCGCAGGACCTTTTCAACCCAATTGGGAACCCGAAGCAAGTCACACGCGGACATATCCCGACACCCAGGATTCCCGCCTGCTCTTAGCCCCGGGGAACCATTTCGCCCCGGGAAAATTGTCCGATGTGTGGAAAATTGGAGGCTACATTTTACGGATGTTTTGTCGGCTTTGTGGATTTCCTGATGGAAATCCTGATGGATTTCCTGATGGAAATCTGATGGATTTCCGCTCGTTCACAAAATACAGTCACCCCACTTCACAGCGTTTTCGCGTGAAGGTCTTTGAGACGTCTCGACGACGCGAGAAGGCGCTGTGTCAAGTGCAAGGGTTGTTATTATTGTCAAAAAATCCGTAAAAATCCACCTTTCGAGTTCAGGAAGAGGTTTTAAAGTTATTTTCTCACGGAGTTTAGACTATTGGGATATTTTTGGGGGAGAGGGAGGGGTTGTAGAAATTGTCAACTGTTGTTGTTAATCGGTGTTTAGGAGGAACTTCTTTATGTGGGGGGTGGGATGTGGAACTTGAGGCTGGAAGCTATTTTCGAAGCAGAAAGCATCAATGTATTTAAGACATCGTTCACCTCGTCTCTGGGGGCAGGGAATCCTCCCACTCAGCTCCTGTTCACCACAAGCCTGTAGCTCAGGGGTTAGAGCACTCGCTTTGCAAGTGAGAGACCTGAGTTCAATTCCAGGCAGAGGGCGAAACCTCGGGCAAGTTTCCTTACTCCACACAGAGCCTAATAATAATCCCTCCAAAACAAAACACAATAATAAATTGGTCATTTTCAATCTACGACTGTTTGTGGGACATTGCTGTGCGCAATTGGCTGCCGCGTTCGCCCACAAATATACAGTCAATTCACTTTACAGTGTGTTCTGTGAAGCGCTTTGGGACGTCCTCCCGACGTGAAAAGCGCTATATCAAATGCAAGGATTATTATTATTATTAAACCAAAACCCTGACAGATGTGGTGGTGCTCGCTGGACAGTCAGCAGGAAATCTTCCCAGACACTGCATTCAGTGTCAAGCTTAGCAGCTTTAGCTGGTTAGACTCCAGCCGTGACCCCCCCAACACACACTCTGGGCTCCCCCCTCAAGTCTTGGCTCTCGCCAACCTGCGCCTAATACTTTCTAGAATTAGGTAACCAGGAGGTGTCCCTCCAGGGAGAGAGAGAGAAAGAGAGCGCATTCCATTCCAACTATCTATCTCTGGGGTTTCCATGTGTGGGTGGATGCCTGGAATTCTCAGCTTGGTTTCGATGCACGGTGATGGGTTTCCGCACGTGTCAGACACCCGGCTGAATCCCCACCCTCCAAAAACAATTGGGAGGAAGAGGGGCACAGAGGGGAATAGGTAGGGAGAGGTAGAGAGTGATGTGATGACCAGTTGGGCTCCATTGACCTGTTCCTGTGCTGTGCCTCTCTCTGTGTGTGAAACACATTCTGTGCTGTAACAAAACTCTCTCCTGTTTCCCGCCGTGGCTCGCAGTGAGGATTCCGCCATTCCGGTTCACGTGGACGGGCAGAGAATGATCTATAACAACGGGAGCTTGGCTCTGCGCTCAGTCAAGGCAGAAGATTCCGGATATTACACCTGCACAGCGACCAACACCTGGGGCTTCGATACCATCATCGTCAATCTGCTGGTGCAAGGTAATGAGGAGCCGGGAGGAGAGGAGAGCGAGAGAGGGGGAGGGAGGGAGGGAGGGAGGGAGCGAACCGATGAACGAATGAACGCACGCAGCAGCCAGTTCGAGCACAGCGACTTCCAGCTGTGAAGTGGGGTCCCTCAGCGTAGTGGTTTAGAGCACTCACCTCGCAAGCGAGAGGACCTGGGCTCAATTCCCGGGCAGGAGAACACGTTAGGCAAGTTTCCTTATTCCACACGCACACACACCCCTGTTTACCCAATAGTAAGTAGGAGCCCGGCTGTTAGCGATTGGGGGATCACTTTCCGGGTGTAATAATCCCTCCCCCTCAAAAAAAACATGTGGTCACTTAATCCACCACTGTTTGTAGGGACTCTGCTGTCTCTTTTCACCCAGTCCACAGTCACTCCATTTTCCAGTGTATCCCGTGAAGCGCTTTAAAACGTCTCAACGACGTGATAAGACGCTGCATCAAATGCAGGGTTTATTGTCATTATTATTATGTGTTTGTCTGTCCCCAGTGCCCCCTGACCAGCCCCGCCTGATTGTCTCGGACACCTCCGCGTCCTCCATTACTCTGGACTGGATTCCCGGTGACAACGGAGGGAGCTCTATCAGAGGTACGTCATTCCCAACCCTTACGTTGTAGGGGGTGGTGGGGGGGGTCCAACCTTTTGGCTGCCGAGGGCCGTGGGCCCCGTAGGCAACGTTTGTGCGTTTCCCTTCCAGAATCATGACACAACATTGACAGGTAATGGAGGGAGGGGGTGGAGTCAGATGAAATGAAGGGAGGGAAGTGGCGCGGGAGGGGCGGTGGGGGGGGCCAGATGTGGCCCACGGGCCGCCAGTTGGAACCCCCTGTTGGATCCAGTATTAATTGCTATCAACATCTCCCACGATTGTGACACAGCAAGCGATTGGCAGGTGGTAGAAGGCCAACTGGATGGACCTTGGTCTTTTTCTCTCAACGTAACGATTCCTGTGTTGCTTATGGTCATTCCTCGCGACGTCACCCTTCAACTCAACACCCCCAGTGCTCTGTATCCCCTCCCCCTTCCTCTCTCCGCACCTTCCACCCCACTAAGGATGATAACAAGGGTTATTATTATTATTATCATTAATTACAGGCCACGATCACTTGATGGCTGTCACGTTACTGTGTGGTGTGTGACTGTTAGGCGTCTCTGTACAAATACACAGTCACTACACCTTGAGGCCGCTGGATCAAACGCGACGCTTATTTTGTTTGACACTGGGGTGTTGGGGGAGGGAGAGGGAGTTAGGAGACCGTGACAAGTCCATCTGTAGCCCGTTTATACACTGAACTGAAAACACTCAGCAAGTGGAGCTCAACACGGAAAGATCGATCGGCCATCTCGAGACGGTGCACTTTACAGAAGGGATTTTAATTGACTTCAAAGCCTTGGATATCACAACGCAAAGCTAAACCACAGCTTAACCCTGTCCCCGCAAGCTGCCTTATCAGACCTGGGCAACAGGCTTTATTGACGAGGGCTTAATATCTACACGAGCTCGTGGGATCAATATTCCCTCAAAGGCAACTCGGAGAAGTGAAGGAGCCGGTGTGTCTCTCTCTCTCACACTCGCTCGCTCACTCTCACCCACCCGCCCGCCCGCAATAATAATTATCCTTGCATTTGACAAAGCACTTGATCCCGTCTTCGAGACGCTTCGCAAAATATACCGTAAAGTCAATGGACTGGATATTTTGTAGGCAAAACGCGACTTGGACTACTTAGACGTCTGAGTGCTTGAACCACGAGAAAAATCCTCCTGCACAGAGAGAGAGGCAGAAAGGCTCGGAGTGTGCATTGTTCTTCCTCGGTGTTATTGCTGTGACATTGAGTTGGAAACGTCCTGCCCAGGGGTGTTAGCTCTGAGCGAATTACAGAGTCTTTCCAAGCAAAAAAAAAAAAATATTACACGTCGTTTTTGTTTTTGCTTTATTTGAAGAAAACCACAGGAAGCAGCAGAACAGCGTGGAAACTGCCACCGGCTCACTTCGGGGCAGAGACGGCAGAGAATCAGAGAGTGTGAGAGAGAGAGAGAGAGAGAGAGAGACAGAGACAAAGAGAGGGTGTGTGTGTAAAACAGAGAGAGAGGGGGAGAGAGAGGCAGATAAATTCGAGAGATAATTAGAGAGATAGAGAGAGTGTGTGTATGAGAGAGAAAGAGAAAGTATGTCAGAGTGTGTGACACACACACACACAGAAAGAGAGAGACAGACAGATAGAGAGATAGAACGAGCGAGAGAGCGTCAAACAGAGAGAGAAGAAGTGAGATAACTGGGGAGAGCGAGGGAAAGAGTGTCATTGAGAGGTACGGACAGCGTAAGAGAGAAAGGCAGGGAAATGGCGCATTTTCTGCTCCAGCCAATACCACCAAAGAGTTGACGCGTGGGAAATATGGATTGGATCAGAGGCTGTTGCTCAGACTGTTGTGGACGGGCAAAGACCGTGATCGTCATAATAGGATGGCTTATTTTGAGCATAACAGGACACAAATTACATTCCGTTTCCTGGCAAAGAGCGAACTCGAGGGTCTGTCGCTGTGGGTCTGCGATTCAGATGCTGTTAATTTCCATCTCTCTCTCTCTCTCTCTCCTCTCTCTCTCTCTCTCTCTTTCCGTCTCTCTCAGCCCCACGTAACAGACGAACAAAAGGTGGCAATGACATTTCAGTACAACAAAGCAAAATGATGATTTTAGTTTATGCTTCTACATAGAGAAAAAACACACACACACATGCACTGGCAATACACATATCCTTCGCATACGCACTCTGTCTCGAGCCACTTATATGTATTGCCGTTGGGAAGAAGCTACCATCTACAGCACGTTTCCTTACGTTCCCCAGGTTATGTGTGACAGTGAGTGAGACTGTGCCTCTCTCTCCCCCAGGGTTTGTGTTACAGTATTCTGTGGACAACAGCGAGGAATGGAAGGACGTCTTCATCAACCCCACCGAGAGATCCTTCAAGCTGGACAACCTCAAGTGCGGCACGTGGTACAAGGTGAAACTGGCGGCCAAAAACAGCGTGGGAGCAGGACGCATCAGCGAGATCATCGAGGCCAAGACACACGGCAAAGGTGGGCGGCAAGAGGGGAGGGGTGGGAGCGGAGTAGCGGTCATTAATAAGGGCAATTCTGTCTCGGAGGCTTTGGCAGATTCCCGTTGTTGGATTGGGTTATGCCATTTGGGTGGTAATTGTGGATTCCTGTGGCTCAGTGGGTAGAGTGATTGCCCGGCGAGCGAGAGGACCTGGGTTTAATTCCCGGTCAGGGCAAAACATTAGGCAAATTACGCACGACTCTGTGCACCCCGCGCTAAATAGGAACCCAGTTCTTAGTCGATTGGCGGATTGCTTTCCGGGAGTAATAATCCCTAAAAATAATTTAAAAATTGGTCCTTTAGTGATAATAATAATAATCCTTTCATTTGATGCAGCGCCTGATCACGTCTTCGAGACGTCTCAAAGCGCTTCACAGGATACACTGTAAAATGGTGTGACTGTGTATTTTGTGGGCGATACCCGGCAGCCAATTGCGCACAGCGGCGTCCCACAAACAGTCGTGTTATTATTATTTTGGAGGAGGGGGTAAGAATTGTACAAATATAGGGCGGTTGTTCTGGATGGTCCAAAGGGCCTTGAACCAGATCTCGAGACAAACCCGTCAGTTTCTGATCTCCCCCTCTCTCTCTCCTCTCCTCGCGCTTACAGAACCGGCTTTCAACAAGGACCAGCACCTCTTCACCCACATTAACTCCACCCACGCCCGGCTCAACCTGCTGGGCTGGAATAACGGGGGTTGCCCCATCGCCGTGGTGGTCCTGGAGTACCGTGCCAAGGGCAGCTGGCCCTGGCACTCGCTCCGAACCAACATGTCGGGCGAGGTGTTCCTGCAGGACCTGCGAGAGGCCACCTGGTATGAGCTGAAGATGAGAGCCTGCAACAGCGCCGGATGCGGCAACGAGACCACCCAGTTCGCCACCCTGGATTACGATGGAAGTAAGGCTTAGGGGAGGATGGGGGAGGGGAGGGGAGAGGGCTGGGGGTCTCGGGGCGCAGGGGGTGTTTGTGTGTGTGGGGCTGAGGGGATATTATTTTAATTCCTTTCCAGGTTTTCCGTCTCTTTTTTTCTGTTGGAGGATTTATTTCCGTCCATTTTGTTCCGTGCCATTTATCTCCACGCGCACTCGAGCGCTGAAACACGTACGAGTGCATAGGCTCGCGCACACGCGTACCCTCGCCGCATGCTCTCAGGCGCACACTTACAACCCGCCCTCCCGCACGTGCTAACACAGACATGCGCGCTTGTGCACACTCACAGGCACACTTGTACACGCGCGCGCACACAAGCGCTCACACACACTCGCGCCATACACGCACTCGCGCGCACACACATATGCGCTCGCACACACACACACACTCACACCCTCACACTCACCCTCAAACACACACACCCTCACACTCACCCTCACACACACACACACCCTCACACACACACACCCTCACACACACCCTCACACACCCTCACACACACACACACACCCTCACACACACACACCCTCACACCCACACACACACACCCTCACACACACACACCCTCACACACACACACACCCTCACCCACACACACCCACACACACGCGGTGTACGTACGGCTGTAAAGCCCCCCTCGTAAGGACTGGTTGGGAGATACCAGACCTGACAGAGCAGCAGAGAGTGCCCTTTACCTGACAGTTGCTGTTATCACATTAATCTACTGAGCCTCTGGCGGGCGGTGGGTGGGGGGCCGGGAGGGGGTTTGGATTCAGGAGGGGAGGGAGTGGGGGTTTGGGGGGTTTCTGCAGACGAACAAGACGAGGAGCCGGGCAGCCAAGCACAGCTGATACCTTCCGATGTGCAATGAATCACTTCGCAGCAGTTTCCCATTTCCTGCTCATCCGTCACTATCCCCAGAGGCTCTGACTCACTCGATCACTCCTCAGAACTCCTCCAGTCTCCTTCTGCTCCCAATCCCAATCCCCCCTTTTCCCACTCAGGATTCCCCGATTCCCAGAGGACGGGCTCTGCCTCTTGAAGGGACGCCTCGATCTCGCCACGAGTCGAGCCGTCAGCACAATGAGAATTTGGTCGCTCGATCCGCGACTGTTCGTGGGACACTGCTGTGCGCAATCGGCGGCAGTGTTTTGCCCACAAAATACAAAGTCACTACACTTTACAGTGTATCCTGCGAAGCGCTGTGAGAAGCTTCAACAACGCGATAAGGCGCTGTATCAAATGCAAGGGTTATTAAATGACATTAATAATCCTTTTGTTTGATACAGCGCCTTTCCGAGCGAGAGAACGTCTCAAAACGTCTCACAGGATGCACTGTAAAGTGTAGTGACTGTGTATTTTTGAAGCAGTCCGTATGCGCACGGCAACATCCCACAAATAGCCATGGAGTGAGTGACCAATTTGGGAGGAGATTGTCGACCAGGACACCAGGAGAGAGAAACTCCCTTTGTTTTTGAGTAGCGTCGTGAGATCTTTAACATCCGCCGGAACAGAGCACAGACGGGGAACTCGGTCTAACGTGTCGTCCAAAGGACAGTGCCTTCGACAAAGCAGTACACGCACCAACCCTCCCCTCCGCCAACTCCCCACAGCACCAAAAATGATATAGATTATCAGAATAATTTGATATAGTGCCTTATTACGTTGTTGAGACGTTTCAAAGCGCATCACGGAAGTGGCTTAACTGTGTATTTTTTGGGCGAAATGCGGCTGCCAATTGCTCACAGCAGTTATTGTTATTATTATTTTTATTTATTATTATTATTATAGGTCATTTTATTCGAGAGAGAGAAAAAATATCAAGCTGAAGATGAGATATTTCTTGAAAGAAAAAGGTGGCGGGGAGGAAAGAAAAGGCAGCAGTTTGCGGGGGGAGTGAAAGTGGGGGCTGCGTTTTTGTTTGAATGCTTCGAAATTCCTATGTTCGAGATCAGTTTGAGATCCTGAGAGATTGCTGAGCGCAGGAGGACCACAAATTCACTGAAATTGAGGGTTTCCAACCCCCTCTCTCCTATCTTCCTGCAGCTCAATAAACCATCACACTCGCCCCTTTTTTCTTTGCTGTCGGCCTCGCCAGTCTCTGCCCGATCGGCAAACGCTAATAATAACCATCCTCGCATTTGCCTTATCACGTCGTTGAGACATCTCAAAGTGTAGACACACTGTAAAGTGGAGTGACTGTGTATGTTGTGGGGGAAAACCTCAGTGCGCAGAGCAGTGTCCCACAAACAGTCGTGGATCGAGTGACCAAATTATCATTTATTTATTTTTGAAGTGATCTATACCCTTGGAAAGCAATCCAACAATCCACTCACAGCCGGGTTCTTAATTACTGCTGAGTATTACTGGGTGATTACTGGGTAAGCAGGTAAACAGAGGCGTGGGTGTGGAGTAAGGTTTCGCCCCGGCCGGGAATCGAACCCGGGTCCTCTCGCTTGCGAGGCGAGCGCTCTAACCACTGAGCTACGGGACTCCACATGATATTCTTGTCAGTCGTGAACTATCAGCATCGCAGTCCACTCAGTTGGCGTCACAGTATATCGTGTGTCATCCTGGCTCAGTGGGTACCGCTCTCTCTCTCTCTCTCTCTCTCTCTCGCCGCTGAGTCCGAAGGTTGGGGGTTCAAGCCCCCCAGAGTCACACGGTCTAAGCTGACTCTCCAGCGCAGCGCTGGGGGGGTGTTGCATTGTCGGAGACGCCGTCTTTCGGGTGAGATGTTAAACCGAGGTCCCTGTCTGTGCCGGCCCAGGTGGGCGTTAAAGATCCTGCGGCGCTGTTCGAAAAAGAGAAGGAAGTTTCTCTCTCCCAATGTCCCGGACTGACAATCCCCCAAAACAAATCTGTTCACTGACTCCACGGCAGTTAGTGCGACGCTTCTGTGCGCAAACTGCCGCACTTCGCCAACAAAATACACAGTCACTCCACTTTACAGTGTATGCTGCGAAGCGCCTTGATGGGCATCTCGATGATGTGATGAGTCGCTGTATCAAATGCAATTAATTTATTATTAATAATAGTATTAAACGTGAGATATGCAAATGCAATATCAATTATTATTAACATTAGCAATAATATTAATACCGATATTAAATATTAATTATTACCAAATGCAATCAAATTATTAATAACAATACGAATAATATTATTAATATTAGTACTATTATTATATTGTTATGAATATTATCGTTAATGTTATAATTATTATTAATATTATTATTATCCTGGGAAGCGCTTTGAGGACCCCCTCCTGACATGACACTGGAGCGTCAGCCGAGACAACGAGCTCAGGACCCTCCCGATGGGGAGGCTTGAGCCCAAAGGGAAGGGAAGTCCTCCCGTGCGGTGTCTCTCTGGGTCTGACCCTCGCGCTCTCTCTCTCTCTCTCTCTGCCCCGCTCTCCAGGCACCATCCCCCCCATCAAGTCTCTACAGGGAGAGGGGGACGACGTGAAGAAGCTGTTCACCATCGCCTGCCCCGTCATCCTGGCCACCGTGGCCGTGGTCCTGCTCTTCATCGTCAGGAAGAAGCGGAAAGAGCGGCGTCTGAAGAGACTGCGCGGTGAGCGGGGGAGGGGGGATGGGGGGTGGTGGGGGGGGGCGCGCGGTCACCGTGGGGAAGGAGAGTGGGAGAGGTGGGGTAGCAGGGAAGGGGGAAGTGGGGGTCACTGTGGGGAAGGGGAGTAGGGGGGCGGTCACTGTGGGGAAGGGGACTGGGAGAGTAGGGGGAGCCGGACAGGGTGAGGGGCTGGGGAGGGGGACTCACTTTGGGGGAGGGGGAGTGTGAGGAGGGGGGGGGCAAAGGAAGGGGGGAGGGGGAGTCATTGTGGGGACCTGGGGAGCGGAGCCGGGGAGGGGGAGCGGGAGTGGGGGAAGAGCGAGGAGTCGATAGGACTGACCAGATGTAGCCCACATCTGAGTGGGGCGTCTGCTGGAGGTGGGGGTGGGGTTGGGGGAAAGGGGGTTGGGTTTGGAGTACATTAGACCCAAATAGAACTGATTTTTTTGGTTGTTGTATTTCAGACGCCAAGAGTTTAGCCGAGATGCTGATCAGGTAAGATCCCTGTGGAACATGGGCACAGGAAGAGGCCATTCAGCCCCTCGAGCCTGTTCCTCCATTCTATGAGATCACGGCTGATCTGTACCTCAACTCCACTTACCGCCATTGCTCCACATCCCTTGATCCCCCGACCTGACAAACACCTATCAGAACAAGTCTGTAGATAGAGGGTTGAGGGTGTCGAGCTCTACCATCTCCCCCCCTCCCCCCCCACCTCCGCAACTTCCCTCCCCACCCCCAAAGTCAGGACTTTTACCTTAGAGACCAGGCTGGTGAGCCAGTGCTGGGGGGCGGGGGAGTTGGGGGTGGGGGGGGTCATGGGGAAGAACTCAGCATTGTTGGAGTTGCCGTCCTTTTGATGTGACGTGACAAGGCGCTGTGTCAAATGCAAGGATTATTATTATTAGGAGATATTGAACCGAGGTCCCATCGATTTACTGAGCACTCCCCCCAACCCCCCTCCCCCCACCCAGTGAGCATCAGTTGGCGTCATAGAATCATAAACATTTACTATGCAGAAGGAGGCCGTTTGGTCTATCGAGTCCGCACTGTCTTTTAGAGTAAGTTTACACTCAAACCCGTTGCCCCGACTGATTCCCTTCAAGCCTTTCCCGTACCTGTGAGCAACGACAACAACAAACAACATTTCACGTCGGGAGGACGTCCCAAGGCTCTGGACAGTCAGGGATTTGGACCTGAGCTGTGGGTTGGGATCAGGTGGGGGTGGAGGGCAGGGAGGGTGGCATGGAGCGGGCAGCAGCTCACTGAGCAGAGGGCGCGGACTGGTCAGTTAGAGTCTACTTCCCTTTCAAAACCCGCAAAGGACTCTGTCTCGACCACCTTACTGGGCAGGGTGTTCCCACCGACCCCAGGACCTCCTCCCACCCTCTCCCCCCCCCCCCCCCCACTCTCCCAGTGAAAAACTTTCTCTTAACGTGTCTGAGATATTTTGTCGCCAATTTTTTCCCGCAGT